GAAACCTATCAATTTCAAATTGGACGACAGTTTTTAATGGTTCACTTTTGTACAGCTATGTTTGATTTACAAAGCGTAGTATTGACTTTTGTATTTTTAAAGGCAGTTTATAGAAGAGCACTTGTTTTTACCAATGACAATTTTCATCGAAACTAGCTCACATAGATGAAATTTCGCTTATAATGTTATAGCTTTGGTGAACAGAATGATTCTGTCTTTTTTTCTGATCGAAAAAATTTTTTTAATTTTCTTTTTAAGAAAAATCAACAAAAGGCAAAACAATATCACAAAACAACATCTTCGATTTCTTCAGTTTCTTCTTCTTCTTGATTACATATTGTTTCATTTGTTGATGAAGATTGTTCTTGTTGTTGATAATTAGTTTGAAGTTTTGATTCATTTCGATGTAATATTTCTCTTAATGCCATTGTTGCATAAGAAGATTTTGGTAATGAAAATGCAAGAATTAGTCCCATGTACTTATTTAATTCTGATTTTATATCTACGAAAAGAAAACAAATTAAATAAAAAAAAAAAAAAAGAAGTTATTCTTTACTAGTATCATGATTCATTAATCGATCATAATCACTTTGCAAAGGATCATCATTCATATTATCATAATAAACAATACGATAATCAACTTGACCAGGACGTACAATAAATTGTCTATAATTTCCAGGTAAACTATAATCTTTAACTTGATATTTCATTTGATCAATATTAATTCCATCTTCATTTAATAAATCTTTATACCATGAATGTATATCATTTAATGGATATTTAATATCATAACCAGGTAATGGTAAAACAACTTGTTCAATTTTAATATTATTTCGATTATTTTCTGTAACATAGAAAACATTCGTATCATTAATAATATCATTTATATAAAGATCTCCAATAAGTATATCAGTACCATATGTTAATAAACGTTTGGAAACAATTTTATTCCATATCATTGATTGATATGCATGTAAATAAAGTAAACGTGTATTACGTGGTATTGATGAAAGTGCTCCAATTAAATTCGTTTGACTATGTTTTTCTAAACCACGAAGAAGATCAACTTCAATTGAACGACGATATGGTAATGTACCATCAAGTATTGTTTTAGTATCATGTGTTTTATTCCATTGATTTAATAAATTACGAAGCCATTCTTGTGTTATTGTTTCATCATATGCTAAAATAGCATTTATTGCTTGAGACCAATCATGTTGAAGTAAATATCTTTAAGGAAAAAGAGAATGATCAAAGAACAAATAAATGAATTAAAAGAAAATAATTTACTTTCCAACTGTTTGTGTTGCTAATGTACGTGAACCAAATCGTTGTAAACCAAAATAATTAATAAATCCTTTTTCTATCCAATTATTAACATAAATTGAAATATTTTCATTTGATACAATTGAAATATTTCTAATTAAAAATAATATATAAAGTCTCTTTTTATTTATTTATAATTCGAAATTACCGAATAAATATTTCAAAACGATTTCCTTGTAATTGTCCAAGACGTAATGGAGTTTGACATAATTGAAAATTTCCTACTTTTACTGATGGTAAACGTTGATTTATATTCTTAAACTTATTTGGTAATACTCTAAAACGAAAGCAAAAAAATTTATTGAGCCGGATATAGATATTTTTTTGTTTTTGTTGTAAATAAAATTACTTATGAATTGTTACTTCTTGACATGTTTTACCACGCTTGTCTTTTATACCAGCATATTGAAATAATGAGGTATTCATACTAAAGAAAAGAAAAACACCATTTCTAAGTGTATCTATCATTCCAGAGTTAAGTAGCTATGATTTAATATAGTGGTTTTTTCAACAAAAGCGAAAACTTTTAATTTATTAAGCATCGAATGATGGAAAAGTGAACAACAATAAGTAAATGTACGTTGACTTTTTCTGACAGTAGCCAAGAAATAGTTAAAATATCGATACTTCACGTGTTCATGTACACAAAGGGTAACAGGTATTGATGAAAAAAATTCGCGTATCGAGCCGACCAAGTCCGGCTCCACAAAAACGTGGATCTTCAGCTTCTTAATGTCCTTTCTTATCTATTGGAACCATTCTCATTATCTAAGAATTAGTGTGTCTTTCATGAATAAGACTCTTATTTACGAATTATTTTGAAATGGAAAAATTCAGAATCCGATTTCATTCGGATCTCATGACAGTCGTGGTGTATTAAATAGGATTTTTTTTGTCTAATTAGCATCTCCACATTTCACTCATTACTAGCCAAAATGAATGTCATTAGATTCATATAAAATAGAGACGTATTAAAGACTAGCGATTACTACACGATTATGGATTCGAGAAGTTTTCAAGATTTCTACTATATCACAAAATGAAAACAACGACAAAAGGTTTATGGATAGTACGAGAGAAAAGAGAAATTAAATAGAATATTCTACAATTAATGATCTATTACATATCGTATATTTATTTTTAGCAGATTCTACTCGAATGAAATGTTTAAAAAAAAAAGCAACAAATCTTCTTTACTTTAGAAGTGCTGCTATTGATTGAATAGCATCCATTGTATCTCGATTTTCTTTATAAAGAACAAATTTTAAGTATGGTTTTATTTTATCTGGCCATTGTTCCGTTGAACGACGTGTTTGATTAGCAATAGCTGAGAAAAGAAAGCAAAAACAAAGCATCAATATTTAAGTATTGAATAATATCACTCACTCACGTTGATATGTTACTTGAATAGAACCATTAATTAATTCACTTTTGAGATTAATATCAATTGAACGAACAAAATGATGAATTGATGTACGTTGTTCTTTTGTTAAATCATCTGAAAAAAAAAGAAAAGAAAACTTTTTCTTCGATTTGTCTTATTTTTCTGTCTTACCAGTAGGAATTGAAATTAAATCTTTATCATGTGTTTTTGATAAAGTTTTTAAACGTTCAATAATATCTTCACTAATTGGAACATTCTAAATGATATTTAAATAGAAAATTTATATGAAACTAATGTTTTGTTTTTGTTCTTTTTGTTTTTTATAATATTAACTGTTAATGAACTTGATTTCTTTTGATCAAAATCTGGACATGATAAATCAGTTAAATGAATAATTGAACCGTCAAATGAAATTTCATTGACAAGAAAATCTGAATAACTATTTATTATAAAATATAGAAATAAGTATTTCTAGAAAAAATCATACCGATATTTAATTATACCATCAAAACCGTCATGATTCGATAAAAATTGAGTTATGCCAACAGATACTTCAGGATTGTAGTCTGGTGAAGGATCTAAATTGGGAAAATTTATTGACTGATTCAATGCGAAAGCAATCTTAGAGATCTGCACCGATTTTTCCATCTTCATGATATTTGAAAAAAATAATTATTTATTTCCATATGTAGTTTCAGAGCTTCTGAGCCATGCTGAATAGCTAAGCGAAAATAGTATCTTTTGAACTCGAGTCTTTCTTTTTATTTCGGTGTACTTTAAAAATTCGGTCCATTTCTACATGTGAAATGTTTTTCATTCGATTGCTCTCTTTAACTTTCTACAGAAATAATTTGGATTAAATTTACATTGAGACTTTTGCAATAGATCTTCTGAAAAAATAGTCAGATTTCAGAGATTCACTATTTATTGACCACTCGGCATATTTAATTTTCAGAATGATAATGAATTTCTTTTTATTATTGATAGAACGTACAAAATGATTTGATGAATTGAATTGTTCAAAGTCTATGACAAATATTTCAATGACAATTATGATTTCCAATATCTCAATAAAATATAAGTTTTTGTTAAAGTTCACCTGAAATTATATTTGAAGCTTAATTTAAAAAAAAAATAGACTTTTACGTGTGACGAGTTCTATTCATCATGACAGATGCATCAAAGTAGCAATTTATTTACATTCTGTCAAATATGTCACATATCCAGTATAGAAGAAAAAACAAAAACCAGAAGTGCTATCATTCAAATAGTCATTATAATAACAAGGTTATTAACGTAAAATTCTCGATTCAATGGATGATGGCACAAACTAACTTGATAATTTACAGTTTTCAATATTGATGCGGAAGAAGAATGTTCTACTCATCTCATAAGAACTAACGAGGGAAGTTTCCCCACCGATTAATTGCTTTTTAGCCGGAAGCTTGAGCATCATGTAGACCGTAATGGATTATGAATACTCCGGGAAGAGTTCGAATTTATAATTTATTACAGTCAATATATTGCATTTTTATGTTCTTTTTCCAATACAATGCCGTAGTCCCACTCAGGAACACCAGAAAAAACTGATATTCGAATTTCAACTTGAGATGTTGCATAGAAACAAGCCTTTATGAAAATAGTTTATTAGGAAATTTTCAGATATTTTTGTTGTTCCTATACCAATATACAATCATGGTATAAGTGCATCTTTTACGTCACTCATTAACACTTATAGATTCGAAGTTCTTTATTTTAAGACAAGAACAGATCAAATTGTCTAATACTTTCATGATTAACTATTCTCGCTTATGCACGATAGTACGGTATTATATTGAAAAAATAAAGTAAAAAGGATATCGGTAGCAATAAGCTATGAAGCCAAACTCTTTTCTTTTTTTAAATAAAAATCCGTAATATAAAAGTCTCATCAAATGAATTCATATTAAAGTAAAATTTATGAAAACGAATTAAATACTCTATTGACATATTCTTACCTGGTCGCATTCGTTTTCGAACTGGTTCATTAATATTTTCCATTGATGTTTTTTCATTTGAATCCATCTAGAAATCTATGACTTAAACGTTTGTTCATTTTCTTTCTACCATTATCTTATATATCAAAAGAAAAACAATTAAGAATCGTTTGACAAATCAATATAAGTAAAAGAAAAGAAAAGAAAAGAACGAAACACAAACTAGGTTCAAACTAATTGATAACGTACAGTTTGTACTAATAAAAATAAACAAAAGAATTACGATAATCATTTTATTTTATTTTTCTATTATTTTATTCTGTATGTGTTGAATGACAATCATGAACTAACGAACAAATATTATTCAATGCTGGATCAGTACTTGTACTGTCTTTTCGCTGAAGACGATTTCCATCGATGTGTGTTGTTTTAATTTTTGTTCCACTACTATTATAAAAAATTTCACTTTTTGTTCGTGCAACTGGTCTTGTATCTTGTTCGACAAGAAAATCATTTAATGCATCTTGTGGTGTTCGATCAGGTCGACAATTCTAAACGAGAAAAAAACAATAGTTTATTTAAAAAACAATTTTCTCACTCCATTTTTTTTGTCTCTAACCTTTGGTTTATTACGATGTGTATTAACAGCTTCGACTGGTAATGGTATACATTCCATTAAACAACCATAAGCCACTGGTGTTAGTTTAATAACTGTATGTAGTGGTACTTTCGTATATGGAAGTTCATCTAGAATAACATAGATTGAATGATGTTATTCTTTTAGAATAAAAAGGAAAATAATATTTTCAATATACCAGCATCCTTATTAAGAAAATAGCCAAGTATACAACGTGCAACAGCTTGATGACAAACAACAAGAACATTTTCAGCTCGTTCTAATTCCATTATAACTGGTTCAAGACGTGCGACAAGATCTTGATAAGACTAAAAAAATAAAGCATTTTAATATCGACTTTCTCTTGAGTTTATGTTCTTATACTTCTCCTCCTGGATAACGATAATAAAATTTCGATTGATCACGAGCAACAAGTTCTTCAGGATAACGTTCAGCTATTTCCATATATGTTAAACCTTCACATATACCCTATATAAAATTATAAATAATCAAAATTATCTATGAAATAAATCATAAGTAGTTTGTTTTTACAGCATTTATCTCATTTAATGCTTTCCATTGTTCTTTAGGAGCATTGATTTTAGCTGCTGTTTGAACAGATCGTTGCATTTGACTTGTCCAAACAATTAAATCCGGAATATTTTCTTTTGTTTTTTAATGAAAGATAATTCGATAAAATTTTGAAAAAAAAACCTTTGTTTTTTATTACTTACCATGAGCCATATATTCTGATAATGCTTCTGCATACTAAAATCAAATAAAAATTTTTAATTATTCTGAATATGAAGAAATTCATATATAACAATCGACGAATGTTTTGTATTCGTATGAGAATATTTTATCTTATCAATCAAGTCATTGGAAACACTACTTAGTTTTTCTGTGAAGATTTTCAAAACGAAAGCCTATCTCAAGAAAAAATGTATCAGAAGAAAAAGCAACATCTTTCGATTGATGCTAGAGTCCTACATCAAAATTAATGTCATAGGTCGACGAAAAAAAAATGATCTCGTTTTTTCTTTTATGCTATGGAAACTGCTAAGACATTCATATTTGTTACATTTCAGTCCCTCTAGTCCTTTTATAATGTAGGTCGAGATAAAGATGTGGGTGTTGCTGAAGCGAGTGTGCTAAATGGTCCTAAAGGAACTAAAGGGTACTACAGAGACTAAAGAGTACTAAAGGGATCTAAAATAATTTAAGAAACTAAAGGGTGCTAAAGGAACTAAAGGAACAACTTGGAGAATCTAAAAATAAAACGGAATAAATTATATTTTTCGTGGAGCCTTGAATTGATATAAAGCTTATGTTCTTTTCATAAATTTTTGTTTTTTTCTGAATCTTCAAAATCAGTTAGCCAACAACTAATCCAAAACAGTACGAAAATATTAGATTTTAAGACTAATATGTTGAATGTTCATTGTTTTGAATTTTAAGAAAGTCTATGGAGCAATACTCATTACTTGATTGATAAAGTAAAGTGTTTTCTCTCTATCGAATACTTTCATTCAATGATTACAAAAATATTCATACCAATTTTCCATTTGCTGATAATGGTGGATCACCACCAAGACGATATTCTTGATTCAATGATGATTCTCCATGCTAAAATTTCAAAATTAGAAAAATGATTATTTTTCATTTTTTTTTAATAAAAATTTACTCGTGTTAAATAAATTGTTCTTGGTAAAATATGAATATTCATTAAAAAATACACAACACGACTTTGAATATGACCTTAACAAAAAAGTGTATAAAATAAGTATTAACTATAGGTAGTTCTTTTTTTGTGAATCAATTACCGCCTATTTTATTCACAAGAAAACGTTCACCACAATTAAATATTTTAATAAACGAATAATGTCTTTCTGATACATCATCAATTGTTTCATAACGTTTTTCATATTGTTGAATACGTGAAAGAAAATCCGAAACAGCGTCTGATTGTGGAACATCTTTATAATCAGGACTTTTTAATTTTACTTCCTATATTAAAAATTTTAAAAAATTTGTTTAATTTTTTGGTTTTTGTTATCTTTCATAAAACGAGCATACGCGAATATTCGATTCAATGATGTCAGATGAATCACATATTGATTCAACAAAAAACACACGGAAACAAAATGTTTGCGTACAATATTCGTAAATACTTTGACGACGTCCACATGTTGTATTTGTTGCATCAAATATAGCTACTTCACCATCATGGGCTAGATAATTGCACATATCTTCAAGAGCTTGTTGGGCACATTGACTAGAAATTTTAATTTTTCTTTTTTTTTTTAAGAAAATATATATCAATACTTTCGAACAGCTACTGCGTCAACATTATCGGGATTAAAAAAATCTTTGTCGGCATAGAAATTAACAGCATCACGACGATATTCACCAACATTAAACACTAAAACAATAGAATCCATTAAGATGACATTTATGAGGAAAAATTCCGAACTGTTTTATCGCTATTCGATTGAGACTATTGCCATTCGATCGATCATAATAAATAATAAAAAAGTCTGTTTTAATTTGATTTGTCCAGTCTTTACTTGACGAGTTATGAGCGCTTGACTCAATTTTTGCACTATGAGCATGAAGTCGTTGAGAATCTGGATAATCAAATTTCGAGCTGAAACTTTGTCCAATGATTGATCTTATAATCATTAGGAACACCTGCAAAGTTGAGCTAGAACGAACCTTTCCTTGCTAAGATATTTACATTTGAAAGAAATATCTGTTTTGAGTTGTGTTTCAAAAGAAGAACGCTTTTAGTAACTATAAAACTGAAGGGGAAACAAACTGATTTCAGATGATTACTATCGCTGGAAATGAGTTTTATCTGTTCACTGCTAATCAATAGGAATTATCAAAAATGCTTAGAAATGAATGAAAATCATTCCATATCAAGAGCAACTACTAAGAATATTAGCAATTATTGCAAGTCAAGAAAATCAATTAAAAATATTAGGAATCAATAGAAGCTAGGCCTTTACTTGTAATCTTATTACTGGTGATTTTCTATTATTTAGAGTGATTTCCATTAATTTCTAATGGATTCTGATGGTTTTCGACAACTATTAACCAATTCAAGTCATACGTTGTATCCTTAAGGCGTTATAATGATTTCTAATATAGAAACCAGTTTACTCTTCCTTGATAAGACCTATTTATAGACAACATTTTAACTCGAAATTTGATCATCCAGGTTCTCAACGATTCTATGCTCAAAAGGCGAAAAAATTGAGTAAAATGTTCGTAACTCGATAAGTGAAGACCGGAAGAGGAAATCAAAACAGACTTTTTTTTTATTACTCATTATGACAGATCGAATAGCAATAGTCTATAGTCATAAGCAATCGAACAGTTGAGAATATTTTCTTATTACTGGCATAAACAGTGGTTGGGCACGAAGATCTCTAAAATGATTACGTAATATTCGAACAGCGTATATCTGTTTGAATATTACGTAGTTACGTTAGGAACCGTCATCTAATCACTGTTTTCATCACTAATAATATTTTGTAAGAGAAATATATATGATCTTCTAAAAAGGAACTTTTTACAAAATGGCAAGAAGACATATGTGCTTAATTTATAGACTAATAGTCTTGACTAGACATATGATGATATCATTCGGTGCGACTTTGTGTTCTTGTTATGACCTTATATATAATCGAATGACTCTTGCATAAATAAGAAGTATATCATAACTAATATTGACGTTTATGTTTCTGTAACCTTTGTTTTCTTATTCAGTCCGTTCTATTTTTTGATGTTAATACTAAAATGGTTTCAAGTTATACCGTTCAGCAAAGAGTAAAGTTTCATAGTAAATTATTTTCCTTTTTCTAATTAATGTAACTCTATGACAACCAAGCAAGAAGTTCAACGAAAGACTATTTTTGTTAAAGATTTTTTGCGTTTATGTGTAATTGAATCTTTCACCCACTACTGACAGATAAAGACATACTTAATAAAAATAATAATTAATAATACGTCATGAATTTGAAAGAAAATTTCTTTATATAGTTCCTTTACTTTGAATAAAGGAAATATTCAAAAGAAAATGAATATCTATGTAATAACGGTTAATATATTATGCTAAGAATAACAATAGATTATTATTGAAACTTGAATTATTACAAACCTTAATTATCATGACATATGAAGGTTTCTATGGCCTAGATTTTTTCTTTAATGAAATTCGATATCATTTTATACGAACTATAAGTTATATGATTGTAAGGATTTTGTGTTATTATCTATGTCATAGAATAACATATTTACATCATAAAAAAAGACACAGAACAATAAAACGGAAAGGCTCTAATGACCTTTATTTGCATAGAAAAAGATATGTAGTTAATTGATGGTTTTGTCAAAATGAATTCCTCTCATTTTCTTTCTTTTACGTGTCAAATATAATAAATATTCATTTATTCATACAATAAATTATTTAACTTTCTTGCTTTTTTGAATAACATCATTAACAGTCTAAAGTACACTATCGACTAAATTGTATATATCCATGCTTCAAACGCATACTTCAAAACGTCGATAGACATTACAAAAAAATTAGTTTTTATGCATTAGTAAAATTTAAAATACTATTTCTACCTTTTGTTTTGATTCCAATCCATTGTAAATAACGTGCCAATTTTTTTGAAATGTATGTCTATAATTATAAGAAAAAATAAAAGAGGATTAAAAAATCTTATTAATTTTCCATTTTTTATTCTAAAAATATCTTACTTTGCCTCGTGCTGGTAATCCACACATAGCCTTAAACATGAATGGAATGAACAATTCGTAATAGAAAAAAGAAAAGCATGTTTACATACAATAACAGTTGGTGTTCGAACTAATCGATCGCGACATGCTAAAAAGTTTAAGAAAAAAAAAATTATTTATTGTTTTTTTTTAATAATAAAATGCCATCCATTTTCTATTTTTTTACAATTTACTGGAATGTACTTTACTTGTTACTAACAGACAATAGGATTATATTACTACGCAAACAAATACGACACTTCGAACAGTACGAACAAAAGCGACATATATGACATCAATAATAGATTTACTTTTTCTTGTGTTTTATTATTGCTCACCTTGACTTATACGTCTGGCCGATAATGGATTACGCTGATAAATGTATGAACGATTTCTTCGCCATGCATGTATATCATGTTTAGTTGTCTGCTCTTGGGAAGTCATTGTGTCCTGTTGAGGTTCTTCGTCAAAAACATTATTATTTTGTTCTTCTGCCTTTTCAATAGGTTCTTGTTGATTTGACATTACTAAGCTTTGATTTATAAGATAGAGAAGCAGGCAAAAGGAATTGACAGATGTTTTGCTCTCATATACGGACAATCAGAGTTATATTGGATGAATTTCTTTTTTTATGACGATGTACACAATCACTCAGCAACAATAACGATGCATCAATTAGAAAAAAATGATTGCCGTTTTATTCTTCTCGTTTTTCTCTCTCGTTCTTCTTCGGTTTTTTTTTCTTTTCACAATTATACGTCGATATTTTTATATACTAAAAACAAAATAAAACTTCAAAAACAATATTTTTCTTGTTATTTTCTTGACATTAAGGTATATATATAAATATATCACATGATGTTTGAAGATTAGTATCTTGTGAAAAAACATGGAATAATAAAAATATCTCGCAAAAATTATCTATAGTTCTTCGCAAGACTACCAACATTTACTCATACGATCGACGCTTTGTTTTCTCTTTCTTTATCCTTGCGAAAGAACGAAGAAATAGTATATAATTTTTGTAGGAAGTAATCATAAAGCTCTTTGTTGTTACTTCTTTAGATCCATTTGTCAAGCATTATTCATTGTATCTATTTTCATTTTATTTTTATCATTAGGTAATGATGTTTGGCGTCACAAAGAAAGAAAAACAAACCTAGCTTGAAAAAATATATTCAGAAAAACCTGGGTTATATATACCCGTATGAATAACTACCAACAGTTAGTTTTTATACCACAAAAATAGATAAAAATTTATATATGTGAGCAAGTTTATGTTACTATTGATATAATTAATATGTTCGTTTCGGTTTTTATGTATTGATTTCTTCTATTTTTTGTTTTTTGTATTTGTATTTCTTATTTTCTTTTCCGCTCTGTTAATTATGTTCTACAGTACTGTCACTCAATGAAGATATTGTATTAATATATACTCATTAACAAAAATAATATTAGAAAAAAAAGCTGATTTAATCATTGAATCCACGAAAAAAGTGTAAGTAGTACTCAGAAAAATCAATAGCAAAGAAAAAAAAGAAAAAACTTGATATGCATATAAGATAAAATATCAACTAACTTAATAAAATATTTTTTTTTACAAATAATTACCTTTAGAAGGCATAGGAACATGTCGACATGTGGACGAACATTCAGACTGAGTTGTTGATGAAAGAAGATCACGTGAACTAAAATATTTATATATAACATTTAATAATTTGTAGTAAATTCAAGTAAAACATTAATAAGCTTTCTTTAAAAATTTCAGCACAGATATTATGCATTTTTTTTTTACTTTCGTTGAACTCTTAAAAGAAAAGACTTTGTAGATTAAAAAAAAGTTCATATATGAAAGATGTTATTGGTTTTTCTTTCTGTTGTTAGTGTAGAATATTTCTAATGCTGACAGAAGAAATGACGTTGTTAGCAAGAATATTTTGCTTTACGCTATTATTTATATGAATATTTAATGTATATAAAAAAAAACACATGCAGACTTTGTTAATGATCAATGTAAATATTTTTTTTATGTAGGTTGATCTAAACAACAAAATTCATGAATAGATAGGCTTATCATGGTTATAACAATTTTCATTGAACCTGAGAAAGATTGTTTCAATTTTGTCTTATATTAGAATGTAAAAAGTTTACCGATCAAAATATTCTCAGTATATGAAACATCAATACGAACTGTCAATTGATGACGAGCATACAGTCTTGGAATAGAAATGTCCTTAATCGGCAATGTAGTTTCTTTTCTCTCTTCCCGTATTTTATTCCTATCGTTTTTCTCAATGACCTTTTATTGATTCGATTGAGAATAATGCTTATTTTTTTTTTATTAAAGTGCATACAAAAATCAATGAATTCTACATACGATCATTTTTAGTATTTTTAACTTTCAAAAAAGTTTTAGATCACACATTTAGACAAAGCATTAGAATATCATTTGTTAGAAGATTTGAATTTTTAGTTAGTTAGCAATATTTAGTTTTTAAAACCAAATTCAACTGATACCTGGTATTGCAATGTAGGATTTACATATACATAATTGATTGTAACGTTTTCCATATACATCTGATAATTTGGTATCATGAAACTAAAACTCCAAATTTTCTAATAAATGTGTCTCAAAGTAAATCTTCGAAATATAATACATTGAATTTATTGATTCATTTGAGCTGTAATACATGGTTATATCAAATAACGTACTTATCGCACTTAATAAACTACTAGATAACCTTTTCTAAAGAAAAAAATCACATTTCGAATATTTTCTCTCATTAGGGAACATGATAAGATAATTCGTTTAAAGACAAGTAACTGACATTATATCTAATATTCTTACATGTTAATTTATATATTTCATGTTTAGAATATATGCTAATCATTAAAAGTGAGAAAAGACAGTTATTACAATTGAAGAAAAAAGGTTAGAAATATTTTTAGGCCATTTCATTAAGTAATTATCATAAGTCAACAACATATTTTCCAACCTCGGAAACTGCTAATCCTGACATTCATAATCATATCGCCTCAGGAATTACATGAGATTTTATCACGCATTCATAATCTATTTTGTTCACAGTTCAGGACTTTTCTTTTTTATCATAATTTCATTAAAAATACTTGAAACTTTTTTTTTCATTTATGATTATCACGTATTATATACAAAGAATATTGACTTAGATTAAAAAGAGAAAAAAAATGTCTTTTAAAATGTATTAAAACATACTTACAATATCATTGATTTCTGTATTAATTTTTATCGAATTCGATGGTCTTGTTTAAATATAATCTGAATTGAAGTAAACTTAATCATTCGTTGTAAAATAAAGAAAAAAATAATAATAAGACTATTTAACAATGATTGATGTGTATCATCATATTTACATATATATATATATAAATTAAATATATATTTACATAAAATCCAAAAATATACTTTCATAAAGCAAAAAAAAGAGAAAAAAGCTGTTTTTGATAAAAAATATCGTTGAGCTTTGTTTTTTGGTTTTTCAGTTTTCACAAAATCTTTGATTAATGAAAGCATTTCTTTGTTATTCATTGGTAATAATTCTTTTACTTCTACAATATAATATGTCACCAAATAAACTATAAATAGAAACTAAAATTGAAAAAACCTTTCATCAAAATATATTTGTTACTTGTTTCATAGTGTAAACTGTTATAAAGAGAAAATACTACATAATGACAAGGTCACTCTCTATCGACATAAATAATGCTTCCATCAAATTCTGTACTAATAACACATTTTCGATTTTTATATTCCTCTGTTCATGGACCTAATTCAATATCTTTACCCCATGAGAATTATCTAAATTAAAAAAAAGAACAAAAAAAAAATAAAAGAAAATCAGAAAATAATATTCCCTTACCTCTATGAATCCATCTAGAATAATCTGTGTTTATTCTGCACAATATAGTTTCTCAATAAGTATTTTTAACAAATTCAATTCTTGTTGAAAATAAATTTACATAAATATTTATTTGATGATAAATCTAATTTACTACTCTAGTCGAACTCATGTTTTACATGCACATGAGATTCTTGACCCAGAAAGTCATGTGATATAGATACATCATAAGTACTGTTCATATCAAGAAGAACAAGTTTAACTAGAGCATTATGTAAAACGAAATAAACCGATGAAAATTAACAGTTGAAGTTGAATATCTTATTAATAATTGATCAATGATTGATAGTTTTTTCATCATTATCTTCTTCTTCATATATTATTAAATCTATTAAATCTATATCAAGTGCTGCATTACCCTATAAGCCATAATTATTTAATGCATATTATGCAATGAATAAAACAATGAACAACCATTTGATTCATTATTATATATGGAGTCATTGTTCAATTGTCAAATAAAAATGCTAAGCTATTTGTTTAATTAGATCGATTATTTGATAACGAGTAGCAATTTGTATTCGATGATATTTGTTAGATTTATGACGAATGAGAATTTTCATGAGCAGATCGGCCATTAAGAATGAAAAAGGTTCGGGTCACAAAAAAAAAGTTGTTCTATTGTGATTATTTGTAATCTAATATTGTTTATTCAGTTCGAATCATATTTCGAATATTGACCACTATAATGGACGATTTATACCGAAAAAATATTCTTTTTCTACAATTTCGATGAAATTAATTTCATACAATGAGAGGCTCTTTTCTATTCTCTGTTTATTTGACAAAAAAGATGTCACTAAATGCAAGAAACAATGATTCATATCAAATTCATGTCTTCATGCAAAAGTGGCATGTTGTTTGATTATTTATTCTGCGTGAGAGGAAATTGAAAAACTGTTCTTTTTTATGACTTTTCTAGATTTTGATTAAACAAATGATATTTCCACTACGCAAACATTTCAATAATCGGGTAAAATTAGTTTTCTGTATAGCTTTTAAGTTTTTTTTTGTCTGTACATATTGTATTTAACCAGTCATAGTGAATAGAATACAAATAACAACGAAAAAAACAACAAACGATTTATTATAAAAATAGAAATTTGTTTTTGTTCTTGAGTCTAAATTTATTATCATTACCTATAAATAGAATCTTGAAAAATTAGACGAACATATGGTCGTATTTCTGATAAAGCTATTGAACAAAATGGACACACTGCTTTTAAACCTTTTGTTCCTAAAATAGAAAAAGAAAAAGTATTTCATTAATTTCCTTTTGTTTAAACTTTTTTTTGCTTTTTTTACCATAAGGTACTTTAATTTTTGACCAATATAAAGCTGTTGATTGCGAAGTCATATGTCCACATGGATGAAATGCATGTGATGTTGTTGATTCATTATCATTATTAGGTATAACATAGAATGATGATTCTAATCCAGGTATAATTGGTATTAGTGGACTAACTGTTCGACAAAGTGGACATTCACGTAATTGATTATTATCATTTTTAACACCCCATTGATGATTACCATGAACATGTCCACATGAAACATAAACATATGGATTTGAAAAATTTGATGATATTGATGAAAATGTTGAAGTTTTTATAACTAATGTATTTAATCCAACAGGACATTGAGGTTTTTTTGAATTAAGTTCATCTAATTCAAATTCTAGAAAACGACGAGTCTAATCAAAAATTAAAATTATTGTTTTTCTTTTTGATAAAATATTATAATTACAGGTGTATGTTTAAGACCTTCAACTGATCGCCATAGTAACGTTGCTCCACATAGATCAATAAGTGTTCCATCTTTTAGAATATTATCTGTATTAGAAGGAGACTAAATAAATAATATAGTATATTTTCTAATATTTCATTCATGTTGTTTTTCTTAGATATTTACTGCTGTTTGATAATTATATTTAAGTCGTCCTTCACCTAAATCAAATACACTTCCACAAACAGATACTTCTTTCCATTTAGTTGGTTTAGAACTTATATTAAATTGATCTCCATCAATATGCATTAATAAAATGCCATTTGTTGTAACACCATCCATTTCATTATGATTACTTTTCCATTTTATTGATTTTTCCTATTGAAATATTATAAGACAAAAAGAATTCTTAATAGATTTTCATACTCCAAGAAAGATATTTTTTGAACTATCAAAACCAGCAGCATATATACGAGCTGTATATGGTGGATGACGTAATACAACAATACGACATGCATAGCGTGATATAGTTGATTGGGAAGCACTTATATCATCAATTATTTTTGTTCCAGGTACTGTATCCATAACAATAAAATCAATTTGACTTTCCGATGATCGGCCAATCTGAAAATAATTTGTTAACCTTTTTATTCATTTAAAACAGAACTACAGAAAGATACTTGAAACATATCGGAATCTTCATCATGTGCATATTGAACAACAACAGTTTGATTTCGTGATAATGTATAGGAAATTGAATGAAAATCAGCTTGTGTCAATTTCTGAAAATAAATAACAATATTCATGTTCTATTATTGAAACATTATTTCGATAGATTGATATATAAAAAAAAAAATTCATGTAAATAATCATACGATTATTTACTTGAAGCTCATTGCTTGTTCAATGATTGTTTCATACGTAATATATGTATAATCAATCGTTATTCATCTAATAATTATTTTATATATTGATCACACATTGATAGTTGCATCATAAGCAAAATTCATTTTCATCTCATCTATTTTTGTTTACGAACGTTGTATTTATATACATTCTTTAGTGAATCATATCCTTATTGATCTAATCTACTGAAAGCTTTCTGTGAATCATTCAGAGCACACACGAATAACTTTTTTTCTTCATTTTTATTTTTTTTACCTGTACTTCATCTGAATTTTCACATATATGTTGTCGTTGTGCTTTAAGACCATTTGCTTGTAGTCGTTGTCTCAGTTGAAATTTACTTTTACGTCTACCATGATCACCATTTGGAATTTGCCCATTATATCTTTTAAAACAAAAAATAAATAAAATGATTATGTGTATTAAGTACTTTTCAAGTTAAGAATTCATAGAAACAAAATAACAAAAGTATCAGTATAGATATTTAAAATGGCAATGTTACTAGGAATGTATTATGTTTATAACCTTGAAAATATGTTAATATGTCTTATATTAGTTTATAGAAATTTGTTCGAGGTTAAATCTTTTTTTGTATCTCTAATATCATCTAAAGAGAAATAAAAAATTTTACTAACCAATTTTCAATAAGATGTCCTATATTATAGAAAAAAAATTTCTCCCAGTCTATTTATTTCCTTAGATATTATCTTCTATTTCCTACTAAGTCAAATATAATTATGGCAACATCCTTAACTACTACAGATAATGTAATTTCTGATGATGAATTAATTAAATCAAAGCAAGAACATAATCGTTATGTTAATTCATTCAATCCTGAATTTAAACTTCCAGGATATGCAACAATTTTTCGTTGGATGGTTGGTGCACCAAATAATACAAATTTACCAGCTGATATTGACGAATTAAATAAAGTATTACCAGTAATAAAACATAAACCAGATGAAATAGTAAAAACTTCACCCGGTTTACGTTTTATATGGATTGGACATGCAACATGTCTTGTTCAAATTGATGATTTTATATTTTTAACAGATCCTGTTTTTAGTAATCAATGTGGTGTTGCATCAAAAGTGGGACCAAAACGTTTTCGTCCACCAGCATTATCAATAAATGATTTACCTGATAAACTTGAAGCTATAGTTATATCACATAATCATTTTGATCATTTGGATTATCCAAGTGTTCAAAGTTTACATGAACGTTATAGAAATCGATTAACATGGTTTTGTGGTAAAGGTGGACGACAATGGTTTCTTAATTGTCATATAGAAAATGTAATTGAACTTGATTGGTGGGAAGAATGGAAACATCCAGTATGATAATTAATAAAAATAAAAATTTTTTATGTTTTTTGTATTTTTAAAAATACTTCATTGATCTAGGAGAAAGAACATGTTAGAATAGCGTTCTGTCCAGCTCAACACTGGTATCGTATTCTTCTTCTGCTTCTTCTTTTTATTGTTATAAATCTATCATTTGCTTTATTTTTCAGGTCACGTCGTACTCTTTTTGATTTAAATAAAGCTCTTTGGGGTGGATATGCTATATGGAATAATAATTATAAATTTTATTTTGCTGGCGATACTGGCTATACTCATAATATATCTATATTTAAACAAATAGGAAAGAAATACGGTCCATTTGATTTAAGTGCTATACCGATAGGTGCATATGAACCTCGTTGGATCATGGAAGGACAACATGTATCACCTGATGAAGCCGTGCAAATTCATATTGATACACAAACGAAAAAATCTATTGGTATACATTGGGCTACATGGGCATTAGCTAATGAATATTATTTAGAACCAAAAGAGAAACTTATTAAAGCACTAGAAAATAATAAATTAGATTCACAATCATTTATTGTTGTTAAACATGGAGAAATAGTTGACTTACCCGAGAACAACTAATTCACCATATATGATTTCTTGTTGTTGCTGTTGTTGTTGTTTCTCGCCATTTATTTTTATATCTGGCATTTTCTTATGTTATACAGCGAATGAATACAATAAAAGTGACACACTAAATTCTAAGCAACACTTAAGTTAAAGTACGATAATAGAGAAGAAAAAAAAATGTGTGGTCGAATGAATAGTTTTATATGAAGTGAAGTACTATATTCTCTCTCTTCTTCATCATCCTCTCTTTTCTCTCTCGCTCTCTTTTTTTGTGTTATTGTCTACTTCTGATGCTACTTGTCGAGCGAGCAAGCAAGGAAGTAAGCGGGCATATGTATATAAGGTTATACAGAGTATAGATATGCATTCAAAAAAAAAAGCAAGTAAAATATATGAAGAACAAAATAAAATCAAGTCTCTCTGTTCTGATCGACAATGAAGAAAGAGAAAAAAAAGGACTGTACATTTGTCACTCTTCATGTTATGATAGAATGTATATAAATGACGATGAACATATGGAAAAGATTCTAGTTCTAGTCTATCAAATGTTTCTTTTTTTCAAAGCAGTGGACATTACTTATACAATTGAACAATTCTTTATTCAATAATAACGAGAGAAGAAAAACTATTGTTCTTTATTATTGTCAATAATCCGATAGGCAGACATATAATGATCATCTTATCATCATCAGTATTATTGAGTAACAGGATTTATCGTATATGACTAGTTAGTTTTATGTTCACTAATCTTCACAATTATGTATCTTGTATTTTTACAACAACAGATTTTTTACTATCTATTATATAAATATTCATTTGTTGAATATAAATATAATATAGGTTTTTTAAAAATAAAACTTCACTGCAAAATAAAAACCAATAATATACCCATCTATTTTTGTAACTGATGTGTAGTGCAGACAATGTATGTCATTAATGTTGATTACATTGAATCAAGATAATAACTTCTGTCACACTATTGTGATTTGTGTGCGTTTTGTGTCTTCTTCTTTTTTTTTATCTTTACCAATTTCTATGCGTTATTGCAATAAAATTCTATAAAAACAAAATTAGCTGATAATGTCATGTCTGGATTATTAAAAAGCTTGATGATGATGTGAAATTCGATTTTTATCTAAAATACGACACTTGAATATAAATCGTTGCTTTTATAAATGGCTATTTTTTGAGACATACAAGGAGTGTATATTTACTAGAAATTCGACTGTTAAAGACTGTTTCGATGATATTGCCATGTGACTTAGGAACAAACTCATGTTGAAACAAATAAGGATGTACAATGTTGATGTAAATAAGGAAATACTAATAGTGAGTCACCGGAACACGATCTATTGAAGCATTGACTATACTGACATTTACGTTCGCTGCAACAACGTGACACCAACTGTGTCAAAACATGCCCTTTTTTATGTAGTGGTATGTTCCACTGCTTCAGCAAATACTGTTGCACGTGTACTCAGTGTGCATTAAGTACATTGAGTCATTGGTTAGTAAATTGAAACTGTACATTCCTGGTAACAATAAATGAAGTTGACTGTATATCAATTTTATGATGTGAAGAAACAAATCTCAATCATGTTTTATGTAAGAGAAAAAGATTACAAAGTTATTCGAACATCAAAATGCATAAAATTGAAGATTTTCATATCAATTGTATTTGAGATAATATTATTAATAATTAGATGATGTCTCGAAATGACACTTCGTTATTGAATTGTATCATAATTAATCATCTTTTATCTCGTTGTCTCAATGAATAAGAATAAAAATCCTCATAAACTTCTCTCATTCATTATTTCCTTATCTTAAAAGCTCAAATAAACAAAAGCTTACAGACGAACGGTTCTCTTCTCTAGCATAATAATATTTATAGCTGTAGATTGAAAAAGAATCCATTTCGAAAAGCTCATAATTATTTTTATTGTAATCTATTTTTCAATATTTATTTTAACATTAAACTATCATTGCGTATATACTTTTTGAAACAATTATGGTATTTTGCTGACTATCATATTTTGTAAAATATTCATGCAATCGTCAACAATACTATGTACAAAAATAGTATAAAGTAAATTAAATAAATAAAAATGATATAATATGTTTCATAGAGCTACGTTGTTTTTTCTTCCTTCCATTTTCTTTTAATCAAATCTTCATAATGTATTAGATAACGAGTTTAAAAGATTACATTACTTCATTTTCAAGTTTGTTAATTGCAATTGAAAATTAATTCTTATGAATTCATAGTTTCATTTGTATTTGTAACTCTGTACAATTTATTAGAATAAAATGAGCATTATTGTTTGACAAAATGTTTTTTTAAGCTATTATGATAAAAATTATGCAAGTTTAATTGTTTTACCTTGAGAAAACTCCTCCTTCTTCCCTTTCCGGTATTTTTCGAGAGTAACTTATGAGGAAATTTTGAAACTTACAAAGTAGATAGATCTCGATGAGTAGAACAAAGTTATCATCTCCCCTCCACCTCCCCCCCTCCCACCTAATCGCCCCGCTTTCTCAATTGCAATGTATCTGGTGGAGTTGAACTTTTTTAAAGATAGTAGATAGCATTTGGTTCCTCTTTATTTCCTTTCATTTGATTAAAAAAAGTTTAAAATGCTCAACGTACTCCCAAAAAAAATCCATGTTTAGGGGTGGCACTTTGACTTTAAAAACACTTTAAAAAAGTATTAAAGTTTAAAGTGTTTTACTTTAAACTTTAAACTTTAATTAAAGTAAAAACTTTAACACTTTAACTTTAAAAAAGTTAAAGAGCTTGTACCATGGGTAAGAAGTGACCATGCCCAGTTCTTGGGTCCTCGTCTAACTACCCTAGCGGGGATACTTGGGTCCTCATATGGCTACCCTAGTGGGGGTACTCGGGTCCTCATATGGCTATCATAGAAGGGGTACTTACGTCCCTATATGGCTATCCTATGAGAGGTACTTGGGTCCTCATATAACTATCCTAGTGGGAATACTTGGGTCCTCAAGTGCTATAATATAAAGGTGCCCTTAGGTCTTCAAGACCTATACCATAGGGATACCCTTAGATTCTCAAGTGCTATATTATAGGGGTATTCTTAGGCCCTCAAGGTCTGTACTACAAGGATACCCTTGAGTCCTCAAGGGCTGTACTATGAAGGCATCCTTAGGTTCTCAAGTGCTATAATATAAAGGTACCCTTAGGTCTTCAAGACCTATACTATAGCCTATAGTATAGGCCCTGATGGCCTAAGGGTACTCTCACAGTATAAGGCCTTGAGAACCTAAGGGTTTCCCTATAGTATAGCTCTTGAAGACCTAAAGTACCCCTTTAGTACAAGCCTTGAGACCTAAGGTTATCCTTATAGTATAGCACTTGAGAACCTAAGGATACCCTTATAGTAGAGGCCTTGAAGACCTAAGGGTATCTCCATAGTATAGCTGTTGAGGATCCAAGTATCCCCACTAGGATAGCCATATAAGGACTCAAGTACCCCTCCTATGATAGCCATATAAGGACTCAGGTACCCCTCCTATGCTAGCCATATGAGAATCCGAGTAACCCCCCCCCCCGTCTGGGATAGCTAGACGAGGACCCAAGAACTTGGCCATGGTCGTTTCTTACCTATGACACAAGTACTTTAACTTTAACTTTCTCTTAAAGTTAAAGTTTTAACGTGTTTCACTTTTATTAAAGTTTAAAGCTTTAAAGTGTTTTACTTCAACTTTAAGTTTAAAGTTTAAAGTGCCACCTCTATCCATGTTCTTTAACTCAAATTTTTTTTTTTATAAATCCCAGCAAAAACCAGCGATACATTATATTTTGAAACAGTAAAAGTAAGCATCCTAAATACTTTCTAATATAAGTAAACTGGGAGTTTCAGCTCGATTGGACGTACTGTGGTTGAGAAATAGGAGCGATTCACAATTTTTTTGTGGAAAAAAAGCCTCATTTTTCAAAATCAATGAGATAATATATAGACTTTGATGCTTTCCAGTGAAAACATGTCAGCTTTTCCATCTTTTATAGTTATATATTAGTTCTTGAAATATGTCCAGTAAATATAGCATACTTCGCAGCATATATATAGAGCAGCAATAAAAAAAAAATGAAGAATCTAAAAATTTTTGATTGGAACATGCAGACTTTCTCAAACATGACTGCAGCTCTTGCTTAATACTATCTTGAACTTTCTTTTACTTGTTACACTCTGATTACGTACGACTTTGATTTTAGCATTAATTTTATCAATACAATAAAACCATACTAAACAGATTAGAGACACTAACATATTGTATATATATATATCAAGACAATATACAAAATCAAAACGATATAAATATACTCATGAGTATAAGAGATATTCTCTAGAGTGAAATTTTCAAGAGTAGAACTCGAGGACTATTTTTACTAGCCTTAACAATTATATAATACACAAAACGTATGCAATCAAAGAAAGAATTGTTTTTCTAAAACTATAATATTGTTAATAGAATGTCATCATTCGTTTTCCTTTTAATATACAGACAATAACAGTTGCCAATCCGACTTCTTCTAACTTATGTCTACAATAGAGTGTAACATGTTTAAAGAAGGAATCATAATCATTGCTTTCTATTGTTTTCTATATAATGTATATAAATTAGACACCCGACATAAATGTGTATAAAACACAAGTGAGAAAAGAAGAGTGAGGTGAGAGAGATGGATCATTTTTGGATCGACACGCATAACTATAAGAAAGATGCTACGTAAACATTTCGGCTTATGATGGATGTCTGTATATAAGAAAAAATGAATAGGAGAAGAAAGTATGTCAGAAAAAAGCAATAGATTTCTTTTATAAAATTTTGAATAAAAAATAAATGTTTAGCTAATTACAAAATTCTGATTTTTATTAATAAAACTGTTGTTTAATCATATATTTAAATAAAAAAAAAACATGATCAACTGTTTGTTTGTAACTCTTATCACCTGATCGAATTAATTGTTTGTTATTTTCATGTCTTTTTCTCTAGAGAGACAACATTTTATCCATAACAATAGGAGGAGAATGTATTCGAATATATCTCTAACACTTCTATCAGAAAATATACAGCAATTAGACGTCGCGTTAGCCATTTTTCTTCTTTCGATATTTTAAAAGTGAGGAAAGCAATTTCGTCTCACTACCAACTTACACCACATCTATTACATCAAAGACGTAATAAGGATTAGTCTATGTGAATGAGAGAGGGAGAGAGAAAAGTGCTCACCCATTTATAGACTTAAAAAATAAGGACCATTTTTACCACCATTACTCTATCGACTCTCTTAACCGAAATAAGCCGACCGATAATTTTGTATTATATTCTTGTTCATTTTGTTCATTCATAAAAAGAACGAACTTGACTTTGCCGAATCGTTTGAAATGAAATTACAATTATTTGTTGTCGGTTAACAGACAGTAAAAGAAAAAGTGTGGATTGTTATGTGTAAAACGAAACAAGAGGGATCAAATCAGAGTGATCAGCCATACGAAATACTATCAAACAAGAGTACAAAACAAGCCGATTAGTTTTATATAGATCAAATTATGACTCGGAAAACGAGATTTATTTATCAAGATCAACATATTTCAATATGTGTCTTTGTTTTTCTGAGAAAACATTTGAAGTTTACAGAGGTGTAACTCAATACTAAAGACACAGCATTTGCATCCCAGGAAAGAGACCCTTACATAAACAATTTTCAAAAATAGTAGGGAGGGATCTCACACTCTCCATAAGCTACGTATGTGGAACTATATTATTTTCTATCGATTGAAGAAAGTATCTTTAAGTTTCCCAAAAGCTTGCATTTCGTTTAGCAGAAATTGAATATATTATTATTTTTCGAATTAAACAAAGAATGTTGTCGAAAAACTGTTAACCAGGATGTTCCGAGTGAAGGAGAGATTCATTAATCTCCGCAATAAAGGTCTACCTCTCAATATTCGGAACACCCTTACCGATAACACTAATCGATTTAAAAATATATGAAAAATGATTGTACAGACAAAAAAAGATGAATTTCTTTTGAATCAAAAGTTTAACATGATAACTATATGATGATTTATTATCTTTTATATTCATTACGAACATTTTCTTAAATCAATTCCTGGTTGCTTATTCAATGAAAGAAGGGAAAAAATCATGTCACTTGTTTTTTTTCCTCATTTAACCAATCCTGATATGCTATGACAATTTTTCAATTGTAAGTCATTGGTTATTTGACAGAAAAAGAAAAAAATAGAGACACTATATATATATATATATGTGTATCGTTGCAAGCCAATATTGATTTAAAGAATCATATATTTCTCTCTGGAACAAAATTTGTTCAATATTCATTATTCGTTTTCAAATAATAATCTTACAATGAATGATGATTATTACCTTTCTCATGGTCCTTTACATGAACATAATCGTATAATACCAGAAATAACTTCTAGTTCACCAAATTATTTGTCTTATTCATTACCAGAATTTCATACAGAAAAAACACAAAAAAAAAGTAATGGAAAATCCAAACAACAACATCATCGCTCAAAAACAAATTTATCAAAAATAAAAACACAAATTACTGAAAAAGAAGCAAAAGAAGCCATTATGAGAGGTTTAGTTACTGAAACAGATGATATTGATATAACAAAATTATCAGGTGAAAAAAAGAAATTTCTTGTTCTTTTTTACTATTTTTATACTATATAATTAGGTACATCAACATTATCTCAACAAGGTCGACGATTTGGTGCTGATGTTAAACCACCATGTAAGAACCAAAAAAAAAGCAACAATTATATACTATATTTAGTTTAATGATTTATTTTATTTAGATTCATATATTGCTCTCATAACATTAGCTATTGAAAGTTCAAAAGATGGTAAAATGACTCTTAACGGTAAGTCATATAATTATATAAGTTTTATTTAAAAAAAAAATTTTCTTTTATTTTTATTAGAAATCTATAAATTTATTCAAGATCGTTATCCATTTTATAATGAACAAACAGCACAGCGATGGCAAAATTCTATACGACATAATTTATCATTAAATGATTGCTTTGTTAAAATTTCACGAACATCATCTGATAATTGTTCATTAACAGGAAATAAAAGTAAGGGTAATTATTGGACATTACATGACAAGGCTAAAAATATGTTTGGAAATGGTACAAGTTTTTTACGTCGATCAACTCGTTTTAAAACACGTTCAAAATTATCTCCAACGAAACCAATACTTGCTTCATGTTCAACAAATAGTAGTTCATGTGAAGGAGAAACATCATCTTCATTTGATTATGATCATATATCATCAACAACATCAAATATATATTCACAACATTATCATCATGATTATTCATTTGCTTCAACATCATCTTGGATTCCTCCTCCACCACCACCACTAACACAACAACAACTACAACAACAACCTGTTCATGATCCTTTCAATATGACACCATCGTCTATACAATTTCCATGTTATACAGATCAATTATCATCATTTTATGGTATACAAAATAGTTCGAATGGTTATTATAATTCGAATAATCATCGATAAAAATAAAAAATGGACTCTTTGTCGTTTTCTTCTTCTATTTTGGTGTGTTCTATTACCAGATGTTTATTACACTTTTTTTTTTTTTGTTTTTGTGTATTTGCTTGTTCCGCAATTGAAGATATAAGTACGTTTTTTTTTTCTATTAGGATGATAATGTCATGCTATTCTCGACAAAGAAGATTTTTTTCTGTATATCAATATGTGGACACGTACATAGTTGAGACAAAACTCAATCATTTTTTCCTCTTCTTCCTTAATAGCAAATGATAACAGTATGTACAGAAGGTTTTTTTTTCTCGCTTTCTCTTCTTTCTTAGATCGTATCCTTTCTAGTACTAATGCGTTTTTTTCGATCTTATCCAACAAATGCAGAGTATAAATCGAGAAAATGTTAGCATCATTAAGTAACACGTTGCTGGCACTGCTGTCGCTGTACTGTTGCATAAATATTTTTAGATTCTCTCCGTCTCTATATAACAGCCGCCCATTTGTACAATACAAAGCAGAAAAGAGAACAAGCAAAAATATAGCTCGACGAAGAAAAATGGTATCGTACAACTAACTATATAGCCATCAATGGTTATTCTACTGATGACAAGTAAACATATAGAGAACGCAAAAGAGGCTAAATCTATCTGTTACTCCATACTCATACGCATCCAAATATATATATATATATATCTACATAACTAATAAACCGCAACTTTTTTCTCTCCATTGCTAGTGCCTACCACTAACGCCTACATACACCAATAGCAGTATGTATGTAAAGGCGCCCGAGAAAGAAAGAGAGTACTTCTGTATACCACATTTCTAGCGCGTTTGTTGTTGTTGTTGTTATTATCTGTAGCGTAGGCATTAGGAACCGTACGTCGTCTTTTTCTCTTCTAAGTTCTGTATATGTATTGGACACAAACGTTTCCTTATATGCAGTAGAATAATATCTTTCTTCTTTTTTTATCCAAAGATTACTATTCAGTAATCTTGACTGAAAAATATTTTATATATACTTAGTTTTTGTTTCGTATTATATATTTATATTTTTTTATTTGAAGATCTGTTGGAAGTGTAATTATCTGAGTTCATCGTCGAATTACATTTTTCTCTAAATTTGTTTATTTTAAATCTTTAAAAGCCACACCGGTCAAAAATGTCTTCAAATACAAATACAACAGCTACGATGGATTCCATCAAAAAGAAAATGCAAGCTATGAAGCTTGAAAAAGAAAATGCTGTCGATCGTGCTGAACAAGCTGAACAACGTCAAAAGGATTTTGAAGACAAACTCAAAGCAGTAAGTTTATCATAAAATTCAGTTTTTTGCTTTCGTTTTTTTTTTTTTTTTTTGTATTTTAAAATTTTTCTTTATCATTATTAGTCTGAAGAAGAAAGTAATGGTTTACAAAAAAAAATCCAACAGATCGAATCTGAACTTGATGCTGCTCAAGAACAATTAGCTGAAGCCAACGCAAAACTTGAAGCCAAAGAGAAAGCTGCTACCGATGTAAGTCTCATTTATTTATTTTTATTTTTTTTTTTCTTTTCTTCCGTTTCTTTTTTCTTTTTACGTTCGCTTCACAATATCTATCATCAACTCTACACATACATATACATACTAAATCTATCTCTATCTATCTATTTCTTTCTCTTATTTTTCTTCTCGAATTATCCGACGAACAGTCGCTTGTCGAGAGTATTATTCTTGTTCCTTTTTCCTTTTTGCCCCCTCAGAAATAATATGCGCATATCTATTCATACACACACATCCATCTATGTATATATCCAAAAAAGAACATCAATACATATAGAAGAACGAAGATTTTTCTAAAAAAATAATATTAATCATGACACAAGATAATCTAAGTATACTATTGGCTAAAGGCCAAATAAATGCAATTGAATTTTATAATTTATTTAAAAATCGTCATCCACAACTATCAGTACCATTACCATCCCCACCACAAACAACAACAATAAAAACAAATAAAAATAAAATAAATCGTTCATCAACATCAAAATCACGCTTTTATGCATATCAACAACCATTACAACGATCTAATTATGTTATATCAAATATTTTACATAATGAACGTATTAAACAAATTCGTCAGAAATTTTATGATAATGAACGTTTACGTGATTATCGTTTAAATGATGATGATGATGATACATTTCATTTATCATCAGATGATAATGAAATGTCTTGTTCGATTTCTTCGACATCATCATCATCATCATCATCTAATTCTTCTTCATCAGTAAAAAATTCTCGTCGTCCAATTAAACCCGGTTGTGAAATATATCAAGTATCACCATATTCATCTCAAATAACATTCAATTTAAAAATTTCCATTATGCAAACTGAAGTTACAGATATTATTAATGTATTAAAAGAGGTAAACATATATAAATAAGTAAACATCGAAAACATTAGACATAATCAATCAATGTTTGTCAGCATGTGTCTATTTACTGAATATGAACTAAAAATAATTTATTAATATGTCTATCAATAGTATAGACACAAACTTTAAATTGTCATCAATAGGAAGGAAGTTTAAGTAATTTTCTTGTTGATAGAATACAACATCATATATAATAAATAAAAAATTTCTTATATTGATATTATATTAAACATCGAATATGATTTTGTAATTTTAGGCTGAAGCTGAATTAGCTGGACTTCAACGTCGTTTACAATTAGTTGAGGAAGATCTTGAACGTGCTGAAGAACGTCTTACACAAACAACACAAAAACTTGATGAAGCTTCACATGCAGCTGATGAAAGCGAACGGTAAATAGAAAAAGAAAACATTTTTAATTGTTTTATATTAAGAAATAAGAGATATTGAATTTCATTTTTACTTATAATTTTTAGAAGCCGCAAAGGTCTCGAACAACGTACATATCAGGATGATGAACGTATTGCTACACTTGAACAACAATTGGCTGAAGCACAACTTATTGCTGAAGATTCCGATCGAAAATATGATGAGGTAAGTTTTATAAAATTATCATTAACCAAAGAAAAACTTTTCTTTTTTAAATGATAATCTTAGGTCGCACGTCGTATTGCCATTATGGAAGTCGATTTGGAACGTGCTGAAGATCGTGCTGAAGCTGCCGAAGCGTAAGATATATTGTTTGTTTATTTTTCCCGTGCACGATGAATTTGTTATCCCCTTTTTTTTTTTGATTGATATCTTCTATTTCCTGCATGATTATTTTATTTCAGATAGTACATAAATGGTATGAAACTAAAATTAAGATTACATTCAATAATCTGAAACGTATGCATGATTTTATTCTTCTTTATGTTTGTTTTGTTTATTGTAAATTAATTCAATTTGAATCAGATTGAAAAATATAAAACATGATTAATTGTGTTTTTTAGAAAAATTCTTGAACTCGAAGAAGAACTCAAAGTTGTTGGTAACAATATGAAATCACTTGAAGTATCAGAACAAGAGGTAAAATTTTCTAGATATATGATAATTTTTTTTTTCATTTGAATTTATTTGACTTATATATGTATTCCTAGGCCATGCAACGTGAAGAAAGTTATGAAGAACAAATTCGTGATTTAACTACACGTCTTAAAGATGTAAGGATTTTTTTATTAGAATGAAACAGATATACATATATACTCTAATGATACAATTCTAGGCTGAACAACGTGCCGATTTAGCTGAACGTACAATGGCTAAATTGCAAAAGGAAGTCGATCGTCTCGAAGGTAATTATTTAATAAACAATCGATTGTCTCTTCTGTATGAATGATTTACAATAAATATCAAGCACGCTAAGTCTTTGCGCGTGTGGGTGTGTGTTTCAGACAATATATAAAGTAAAACGTCTGGAACATAAAATGAATATTTTTTTTTGTGTATTTTGGTTATTTAATTTTTTTTTTATTTTAAATTACTTTTTCTTTTTTTTCTAGACGAATTACTTGCCGAAAAGGAGAAGTACAAGAGCGTAAGCGAAGAACTCGACATGACATTGAACGAATTGTCGGGTTATTAAAAATTTCAATAAACTCTATTATTATTGATTGTGGTAACATCAACAACAACAGCAGCAGCAAGCATCTTTTTTTCTTTCTTAAAGACGTTCTTCTTTTCTTTTTGTCTATTAAACCCATATCACCTTTGTGTGAATTTGTATGTGCGCAGCGGTGGCAACAGAACAAAACTTGCTTTTATTTCTTCTTTATACCATTAAATTAAAACAAAAAAAAGTCTTCTTTTTCTTTTTAATAGAGCATGCACAATTCATACTTCTCTTTTCTTCTTCTTTTCTTCTTCTTCTCTTAAAATTTATCATTTTATGGCTCTATAACTAGTTTGTTCTTTCTTTTTTTTTCTTATTTCTATTATTTAAAATCATACAAATAAAATATAAAAAATTTTAAAAAATATATTAATGAATTATTTAAGTATTTTTGAAGAATATAAAAAAAAGAAAATTATGATCTCAACATTAATATGAAAAGAGATGTTTTTATAAACAAAGGTTTGAATTTATCATTTGATACTGGTAAACAATATTTTAATATATTCAAAAATAAATGATTATAAACATACATAAGAGAAATCTAACAAATTAAATTTAGTAAATCATTTAATTGGATGTTTTTCATAGTCGGGATAGACAAGTTAGCAAAACACATTGTCTTTTATCTTTTACATTACAAAAACAAATATTCCCAAATAAGCAATTTGTTTTTATTTGGTCAAAAAGATAATACTATGAAATAATAATGTTAAGAAAACCTACCATTCGATAAATGTATCGTATTCATATTTTAAGCTTGAATGAATTATTTTTAGCAAAAGTTAATTTCTTCTATTTCAGAGTTCCAAATGGACGTGGCTGGCGCTTGAGATTAAACACAAAGTTTTCAATAGATGTCACATGTTTTATTAGAAAAATGTTATTTAGTTTTTTTTTTCATTAACTCAACATTTTCGGTAAAGACCAGCAAAAAGATAAACCAGTCAAATAAAGAAAAATGCATAAAATTGTTTATTTATACTAAAATGCTTCGTTCGTATTCATTAAATATCATTGTCTTGAATTTCTCTTTTATCAACAAATACATCATCATCAATTACCTTTTCTAATTCTAATTCTATTCCTACTGATTCTTTTCAATCATCAATTTCTGTTACTGCCTGCTCGCCAACTACTACTGATAAGAGTGTAGATGCGGTTATAGACGTATAAAGAAAAAACACGCAGGCCAACACCCATACACACATTCATCTCCGAACCCATACCCTTCTTTTTTTTTGTTATACTTTTCTACGAAGTTGTTTGTTGTCTTGGATTATATGAAATAAATTATGATTTAAGTTATAAAATAAAAGGATAGAAGTAGCCCATGGGTTGATTTTCTTTGAATGAGCCCAGCATAGTCGAAACTCTGTTCTGTTTTACATCCACTTTGAACTACAGTATAATTAGTACTTCTATTTTTGCAGATTGTCATGACATTTTGCTTCTCTACAGAGAGAAGTGGTTCAACTGATAAATCGATTTAGAGTCGATACTATATGCATTATGTAGACCCAAGAGAGCTATGAATATTCGGAAAAGAGTTCGTATTCTGAACTTATTATTGCTGCTATAACACTGCACTTTTAGGGTATTTTTTTAAATCGTAAATGCCGTGATCCAGAAAAACTGATTTTCGAATTTTGGTTTGAAACCTTCCAAAGAGACAGATGTTAACGAAAGTAATTTATTGTGAAAGTTGCAAGTTTATGCATTTGCTCCTGTCTTGAAATATGTACACCAAATCTGTCGATTTGTATGAGTAATATAAAAGACATGCTATTATCATAGCTGCAGCTTAGGATGGAAACCGAAAATTTCGATAGTTTTCAGAAGTGGAAGAGACTAAAAATTTAACAGACAATTATTAGATAACAGCTTAAAATTTTTGCAGATGTGACATAAAAAACGGGAGGAACTAGCTCATCCCTCCTCCACCCATGTGGAGACCTATGATAGAAATAGCAGCAAGGTCAGAAACATTGGCGAAAAACTATTCTTGTTAAGGCTTGTCTCTATGCAAAGTTTCAAGTCGAAATTCGAAATTCGAAAATAAGTTTTTCTGGACCATGATATTCACATTTAACAAATACCATAGTAGTGCAGTATCTCTGTAGTAACCACCTAAGAACATGAACTCTTTTTCAGGATATTCATAGCTTATTTGGGTGTAAAAGTAGTTTTGATGAATTTGTCTTACAGCTCTACCTTAATCTAGAATAATGAATATTTTTTATACCTTTTTTAACAGTTTATTTTTTGTTGGACATTTATTTTTATCAAACTATTATCAAAATTATGTTTCATTATATGAACAATTTAATGCATATCTTTTCAGAAGGATGATCTCTCAAGCTTGAAAAAAAATTTTCGTTTTTCTCCAGCCGAGTTTCTGCGTTTTATTGTTGCTTTTTACTTGCCAATTTCTCCCAAAAAAAAGTACGCCTCTCTCCCAATTTTGGCGGTCTCAGGCCATTCCTATATCTTATCTAATTAGTTCCGGAATTCAGTTCTCATTAATGTTGTATTATTATTTTCTTTTTTTATTTCAAGAAGAAGCCTAATACATTCTGATAGTACTAAAACGAAATTTTTAATCTAAACTTTTATGTGTTTCACCAAACACAACACCAGGTTCACTATATCTCTTTTTTAAATCTGCTGCTTTTTGTTTAAAATATGTTTCACGTTCAACATCTTTTGGTACACCATCACCACGTCGACACATAATTGCTGCATTAACACAACCTTGAAACATATCTGAATCACATGCTTTTGATGCATAATCCAGTGCTGCTGGCCCATCTTTAACAATATTATCATGATGTCCATTAAAATAAAGTGACCAAAGATTTAAACATGATTCACCAACAGATCCTGAACAAGCTTTTTTATAATAATCTACAGCTCGATTAACATTTTTTTCACAACCTCCACCTTCCATATAAGCAATACCAGCATTATGACAAGCTTGTAAAAATCCTAATTCACATCCACGTTCAAAATATTTTGTTGAAATTGGAACATTTTTCTCCATGCCTAATAAAATAAAAACAAAAATTCAAAATTTTCTTTTGTAATTAATTTTATTTCTGATTTACCTCGACCAAGAAATGCAAATGTACCATAACGATAACATCCATGTCCATAATTCATATCATCACAAGACATTTTATATATTTTAGCTGCTGTTGTATGATCATTTTTAATAACTTCATGATAATTTCCTAATCGATAACAACCTTAATCACAAAAATTGAAAAGAAATTTTAATAATGAATTATTCAAAACATACCATCACCAAGTTTTTCACTAAAACAAGCAAATTGATATTCGACAAGTAAATTATCCAAATATTCTTTATATTCTTCTTCTGATTTTGGAGCAAAATACGTCATATCAATCTGTGAAATTTGCATATATATATATGTACACATGTAAAAAATTTTCTTTTTGTTCAATTCTTTCATGTTTATTATAAAATAGATAATAAGAATTATTTTGGACAGAGCACCGGAAACATTAATTAAGAAAACGAGACACATTGGAGAAATAGAAAACAGATAAAAGTAGAAAGACAAATAAATTCTTTCCGAAACGTCAGAAAAAAATACAATTAAAAAAAACTCGTTCTTTGAAATTATTTTATTCCGAATATCACGAGTTGAATGTGAGGAAATAATATTGTCCATAAATTACATATTTGATTTGTTCTTTTATTTGCTTTCTTTTTTTAATCGTAAGCATGTAAAAGATAATTAACTGCCATTTCTTCATTACGATCACAAGCAAGAAATGCTTCAATAACACGATTTCGATCAAAACCCATATCTTGTATCTAATAAATTAAAATAAAAACAAAAAACACATTAAGATTTTTTTAATTTTTATTTGATTAAACAAAATAAGTTATTTAATTTAAAAATGGCCTCAGATGGTAGTGCATGTTTAGTTCAGATCCTCATAGTTTTTCGGATAAAGGTGAACGATTCATCATCATAGGCCGTGCTTTAACTTAGATTCGATCCTTTATCAATATCGCTATTTACACATTCAAGTAAAATAAATACGTACTCGATTGATGGTTTGTTGCTCTTGAAATGTAAGTTCGACTTTTATTCCACCTTGACCAGCACCACCAGTTGCACCACCAATAGGAGCACCACCAATAGTAGAAGTATCGTTGCCACCAGAAAACGCTTGATTATCATCATTTCCTCCTGCTTGTCTCAGTAAGTCAATAAATCCTTTTGGATTTTCGTCAATCATCTTGTTGAAAAAGAAGAAAACAAATAAAATGAAATTTTTAAATGAAAAAGTAATATATTTGTTTTTATTTACTTTGGCCATTTCTGGATGTTCAGCTCTTAATGCATTTTTAATTACTTGAAGTTGTTGAGGATTTTGTTCCAGCATTTGACCTATTTGTTGGAGATTCATACCTGCACCTAAAATCGAAAATATACAAAAAGGTTAAAAATAATTTTTTTGCTCTTTTGAGAAATTAAAAGCTCGATCTTAATAATATTATGTTAGCTTGGTTTAGTCAATAGATTTTAGAGTAAATTTAATTTTTTTTTTTGAATAAGAGAATATATTAAATCATAACAGTTGTACTCAGGCATTACAATACTTTTTCTAGTCAACAGTCTGAATGATTCGTATATAAAGAAAAAGAACGCATAGGTGAACATTTTCGATAGTGGAATCCTGAACTTCCGAATTCTTTAGAGTCAAACAGAACTCCCAATAAATATTTCATGAGTCGATTAAAGGGTACTATCTACAGTAGAAAAGTATCGAATGCTAGTCTCTATTTGTTCTTTAGGATGTCAGCGTGAATAAAGAGATAGTAGATGCCTAAAGCAATAGTTTCGCACCCTCAAAATCTAAAAACAAGAAAGTCTAAATAAGAAGACTATGAAAAATGATGTATTCTTTGTTGATGCATGGTAAAAGATTTTCCTACAATACTAGTAATATCTAAGAACCTTCAAGCTATAGACTTCATGATTCTATAGGATTCTACTTTCTTCTTCCTTGGGAATAGAACGTTTGCGAGTTCAATTAATTAACGTAGAGATGTGCGGCAGCCAAGAGATTGTGCGTGGTAGAGCAGGGCCATACGATCTTGTGGGAAATCCATAATATAGTGTCAATGATGGTAATCATTACGGTTTTCATTCTTCTAGTGATAGAAAATGTCGCCCGGCCTAATCCACTATTGACTACGCTACTAATCTTCTTGTGAATATACTTTCAGAATACTTGCATAAAGAATACCTGATAGACTAAATTAAATTCAATTTTAATCGAAGTCTACTTTAATCTCGGAGATGGTAGAGTACGCTTTAAACTTATACTTTTTGAATAGTATTTTTTTATTGATGTTTATTTGTCTTCGAATTTAACATAGTACATAGATGATATTCCCTATGGTCAAATACTAGATTGCCTTATCTTGAATTTTAACACTCTAATGAATTTAAAATGTTACTTCGTTTTCTCATAAAGATACTTGCGAAAATTATTTTCCAATGTTGATGCAGAAATTATTAATGTACACATTATAATATAAATATTCTGTCTAGTAAGAGAAGAACATGTGTGTGTTATATTGTCTTAGTGTAAACGAAAATTAGAAATTATTTTTAAATAAAATTATTTCTTAATTATGGTGCAATAAGAAGAGATTCAATTGAACTAGAATTCTACAATGCTATGACATTTCTTAGTCTAAAACAGAACATAATGATCGAATCAAAGATAATTACTACATGTCCGACAATAATTTCGTTTTTTTGTTGTTGTACTCAATTGTTTCCTCATAATTTAAAGACGAATTTCTCTTAAAAAATGAATTTCAGTGTCATATTAATCATACTCCAATTGATGTTCTGATGAAAAAAGAAAAATACGTAAACTAATAACCTCCAATGCCTTGATGAAGATTAGCAGTCGGATTTGGTTGAAATGGTTGAACAATTGGAATCTCTGGTGATTGTACTGGTGTAGGTACCAGTGGTGGATGATCAGGCACTTCCTCATTTGTTTCAGGAATATTGCCCTAAAAAAATACATAAACTTAAACAAAACAATCGTTAAAATTCCATTTATTCAATACGGATGTTATGAATTCTATAGCAAGTTCTGGAGTATAAGCACTAGCACGTAATGCTTTTTCAGCTAGTGAACGTTCAAAACCCATTGATAACAAGGTTTGTAAAGCGTCTTCACGTTCAGCAGCTGATGGAAAAGTATTTGATTCTCCACTTGGCATACCACCAGTTATGTGAGATGCTGGATATTGTGTTTGCGTTGGAAATCCTGTTTGCGCTGGAAATTGTGTGTGCGCTGGAAATTGTGTGTGTGCTGGAAATTGTGTGTGTGCTGGAAATTGTGTTTGCGTTGGAAATCCTATTTGCGCTGGAAATGGATGTTGTGGATACTGGTTTTTGCTGAAGTCGTATGGTTGCAATGATGGTTGCATAAGTGAACCTTGACCAAAAGCACTTGGTCCCATTCCAAATGATGAATTAAATCTAATAAAAACAAATTCTATTGAAACACTATTCTATTTTTAAACAAGAGAAACAAACCCATACGGATTGATTACTTGATTAGGTTTCTTTTTTGGCTATAAAAATAAAAAAATATAGAATAATTGATAATGAAAAAAGAAAAGAAAAAAATCTATATACTGGTGGTTTCGGTTTTCCAGGTGTTTGTTTAACAAGAAGAAGATAACCATCAGCTTGTATATTGAAAGACTCAATTGTATCTTCATCATCCATAACTTTACCTTTACATAGTAATTTAAGTAGATCAACATCATATTTTTCTCTTAGATCATCTTTTGCAGCTATTATTTCTTTGACGGCTCTTACCTTCAACAAGAAAAGAAAACAATGAAATTTAACATATGAAAATTTTTATTAAAAATCTACCGTATCTTCTTTATTGCATTCAATTTTAAATGTTTCATTATGTAAATTTTTAATCTCGAGTTGCATTATGATGTAATAAAGACGAAAGATATTTCTAAATAAAAAAATTCAAATAAAATCATCTTGGGAATAAAAACAAGTCATTATATGCATTTAACACAACAAAAATATTCTGTTCTCTTCTTCCTACTCTGTCAGTAAATACTTTTTCTTTTTTTTTTTACTAATGACATCTATATATAAAATTTTTCGTCATATGCAAATCATAAAAACAATTTTAATTATTATATTTAATTAAGCAAATATGAAAATGAATAATATGTTTAATATTACTATAAGAAATGACTTCTGTTATCGCGATATAGGACATCATTGAGAAGGGTATTGTGAAGATGGCGTTAATGTGATTAATATTATAGTTGACCTAGATTGTCTTTCATGAAAATTTTGATTTTCCTATTTTGTTCCTTTTTTTCGGATGGGAACAACGATTTCAAACTAGCTGTGTGAAATGATAGACTTAAATATTATCTGCTATAAGAGATATTATTCGAGTCAAGCCAATGTGCTTTTCTAAGAATTAGAAATCTTTGAATCACAAGGAATCACAGTGAATATTTTCGTTTAAGTTTTAAATTTTGGTTGGTTTTATTAACCTGATTAACTACAATTCACGTTTAACATTGTCGAATTGAGCGGAAATATTTATCATGAATATTTAACAGTACAGAACATAAATGGATGTTTCCATTTTCGAATAATAAATCTTGGTTGAGACTTGAAGAAGTTCAATATTATGAGCTGATTTTTCAGTTAGAAGGATGTTGAATTTTTTTTTCTAAGTTAGAAAAAAAGTAAATCGAAACCTTAAAAACTCTTTGAAATAATCTCTTAGTTTTTGCTTTGATTGTCTTTGGAAAAATTTTCAATTTTCTTCAACAAAGATAAGAGAGCATAAAAACATAATTTAGGTTTTGTAAGCTTTCATTGATAAATTTGATTCAATCATATACAAATCGATAGATTATGATTTTCTTTTCATTTTAATGCCATATTTGAAACATTCTCATAGGATTTTAGATGAAATCAGAGTCTCTCATTCCTTACGTCCTCAATAAGTGTCAATAACACTGTTTGAGTAACAGTTCGAAAAGAAAGTACGAAATATGATGAGTGTTTCAAAGTAATTATGAAAGGCCAATATATTTAGAATCAGCACCAAAAAAACTAAGTCAATTTATTTATGTGACAATTTTTCTCCATAACCTTGTCTTTCGGTGAAATTTTCACTCGTGATCGGTCTACCCCAAGGATATGTGAAAAAAAAACTGTAATTAAAACACCTATTCAGATAGTAGGAAATATGTTTCGAACTTGTGAAATGCTATTTGAAGACCAAAAAAGCAGATGAATTAACAATAAAATAGATGTTTAAATTAAATTCTTTTTGTGTACTCAAAAAGTGAGTACACTCTAGAATCGGTCAGTGTGTCCGTCCGGCCGGCCGTTAACACGATAACTTTTGAAAGGAGAGTCCAATCANAAATCTTAATAAATATTAATTTTTATTCAATATTAATTGGTGGGCCAAAATAAATTGCACTGAATCTTGGTGTCTTTTTCTCTCACTTTCTGTTAATAAATGATATTCATTTATATACCAAAAGATTGAAAATTTCAAGCTGTACAAAACTGTTGACTTTGTTTTTCAAATAAGTTTTTCTTGTTGGAGCCAGATTTAAAAGATAGATACCTGCTCCATCGTCCAAGTGGGACGGTCAAAAAAATAAAAAATGATGAAATTTTTCAAAGAAAGGTTTCGCTGAAATTTCAACTATGCTACAAAATTCTCCATAACATTGTGCATATTTGGATGTATGTTTCAGAACTTTAGGTTATATTTGTGAGTAACAATTTGAAGTACAAAACATGCGAAAACGCCTAAAAAGTGCTTCTCTGATATATCTAAATCATTGTTCTTTTTTAATTGGAAACAATCTAAACGTTTTCATGGTTCAATTTAATAGTTACATCATTTTGTTCAGAATTAAATTCTACATCCAATGGCACAATAATACATATTTCATAGAGAAAAGACCGGCTTTTGAAGGCATGGTTTTCTGACGTGCACCAAAAAATAACGACAGCCACTCAATTTCAAACCTTTTTCTCCTGAGGAACAGCACCAATAGCCTTAAAAAGATCATGGATGAATAGAGCACAACATTCTCTATCCATTGGTGTTAAATAATTTACTGTTAGCATAGATCTTGATTAGTAAATGCTTACATTATGTTAGTAGAAAATAGGAAATCGCAGTTGACTGGTTGAGTTCATGTGAATCTTTTAAATTTGGCGCCGACAAGAAAAACTGATTTGAAAAAAAACTCTACAGTTTTGTAGAGCTTGAAATTCTCAATCTTTTGGTATATAAATAAATATGTTTTATGCATAGGAAGCACGAGAAAAAGACACCAAGATTTAGTGCAATTTATTATGACCCACCCGTTATAATGCTTTTATTAAAACGAAAGTAAAAGATTATTTCTTCAGTCTTTTTAAAATATGTTCTTGTTTTTTTCTCATGATCACAAATGATAAGAAAAATAAATATTCTGATTAAAAAAAATATCAACGGCAATATATTTTTATTCCAATAAAACATCTGCAAATCAGATAGTGAGTTGATCACATATTTGTTTTGTTTTTTCTTTGAAATAATTTCTTTTAGAGGATTTTATTCGATTCATGACTCATTGATTTTACGAAAGAAATAGACATGTCATATAATAAATAGAACACCGAAGAAAGAAAAATGTCTGTGAATAAAAATAAATAAAAAGAATGTTAAAAAAAAATAGACAATTAGGGAAAAAGTTTGATGATAAAAATGTTTATTATTTTTTAAAAGGTCATTTAAGATACATAGGGTTTGGAAGCGAAAAAAAAGTGAGAACAGATAACTCATAACAAAATAAAACGAGTCATATAATGTCGAGCTAATCTATTATTAAGGAATAACTTCAAGTGCAATAGATTAAAGATTCTGATTTAACGAAGAATCTGGCTATTTCTATTCTTAAGTAGTTTTATTTGATTCATTAGTAGGAGTTGATTTAACTACTGGTTCTGATGAAGGTGGTGGGGGTTGAGTATTATCACCAATCCAAACAAGAATTTTTGCTTCATGTTCAGCTATATCAACATATACTTCATTATTCTCAACATTCACATCATAATTAAATGTCCATTCATGCCATCGACCATTTGCTGGCATATTCGGTACACGATATCGAGCTATTTGAAGAAAAAAAATAGTAATATTTAATTATGTAAATATAATTTACCGAGAAAATTTTCTGATAAATTAGCAATAATGACAACACGTTCACCTGAATCAGCCCTAAAGAATAATTAATTGAATATGAATAAGATATCTATTTTTTTGTTTGTTTTTTAATTACCATCGCTGATAAACAATCACTTTATTATTATCATCTTCATGAATAAAATTCAAATTTGTTGTAAAAAATGCTTTATTCTTTTCACGTAAACGAATTATACCACGATAGAAATTTAATAACCCTTTATTTATTTGATTAGAATTATCTTGACGATCAGCAATTAATGACCAATCGATTTTTGCAGTACCAATTGTTTTTTCTTTATATCTAAAGGAAATATGTTTTTTTTTCATCTCAATGAAAAAAAATAACTTACTCTCCAATTTCTTCTCCCATCCAAATCATTGGAATACCAATACTTGTCATCATTAAGACAACACCAAGACGTACACGTTTAAATGCTTCTTCACCAAATATATTTCGTTGTTTACCTAAGATAAAATTTAATTTTTTTTTCGAAAATTCATTAATCATTTTATTTACCTAATTCAACAAGCATTCGATCATGATCATGATTTCCAATATAATTAACAACATTTGCTACACCTAAATATCCTTGTTGTCGACAATCAATACAAGCTTTCAATCGGCCCATATCAACATTATTATTAAGTAATATATCACGTACCGTCCAATAGAAGCTATCATGCCAACCTAAAACAATAGTTATTTTGTTGTTTTTTAGTTAGAAAGAAAAATAGAAATCGAGAATTTAATATGATATTACATCCATCCATAGGACCATCAATATTTGTTATACAAGGCTCATCAGGTAAAAATTCCGCTACGCAATAAAATGGTTTGTGTCCAGCTATTTTTTTAACATCGGAAATAATCCAATGAAGAAAATCGAAACTTTGTATTTGTCGAGCGGCATCAAAACGAATACCATCCATATGAAATTCTTCTACAACATAACGAATTGAATCACCAACAAACTTTCGAGCTGGCCAAATATTGTACTTCGGATCAAAGAAGTCTAATTAGTACACAAAAAAATGACTTTTTTTTTATTTAATGAATTTACATACTGTAATTCCATTCAGGTCCCCATGACACTAAAAACAAAATAAAGAAAACTTGAATGTAAATGCATACATTCATGTAGACGCTAACCTTCGAATCTAGTCTAATAGAAAATTCAATAAGTTTACGAAGAAAACGTATCGTTAGTGTATGGATTTAAATTTAAATTGAGTAAAGCAAAGAATGAAATAACAGTTAAAAAGTTGAAGCTTATGAATTGTTATAAAGAATCGACACCTGATTTTAGGTCTTTTCCTATGAGCTTCAGATAAGTTAACCTAGAATTGTTACATAGAGCTCCGAACGAGTTGCGCTAAGCACAACTTAAGGCATAGACGGAAGATTTTTGTCGAGAAAACCATAAACTAGACTAGGACAATAAGTTTTTACGATGGACACCTTCGACTCATAAGTGAAATTTCACTCGCATGCCGATTTTCGAGCAAAGACCAGGCTTTTCAATTGTTTTCATATTTAGGTGTTGCGCAAACTTGATCGTTCTTCCGAACATCTAAATTAACTCTTTTTCATATGCTCAGGTTTTGGTTGACTATTACTCGTCACAAGTTCTAGTTTTTGGAATTAATTACTAAATAGTTTTCATATTAAAGAGATACTCAAAAATCTATACTTTCATGCAGTTAATGATTGCATTTCCTTCTTCGTTCTCATCGATAGCTATATCGACAGCAATTACTGTTTCTCGTTCGAACTTGAACTATAAAAATCTTTTCAGTGGAGTTGATAGTTTCCAGTCAAATTTTAATAGAAAAAACCTGTGTATTTGTGATTCGCTTTTTACTAATGCACGCTAATTTCCGTTCAGCATACTGAAACTTTAACTGGTCAAACAGTTTTTTTTTATTTTGGACAGAACCTATTGAATCAATCTTCTTACATGCGTTGGATATAATAATCAGTTTCTTCAATATGAAATAGAATTTTGAGCTGAACTAGGTAAAATCAACATGCCAATAACTTCAACAATAACCAAAAGACTTGGCCATCAGTTCTGATTGATATGAAAAGGGCTAACTATCAGCTGCAACTCATTTGAGCTCGAGTTATTTGCTACTCAGTTGAAAGTGCTGCATACCTCACTGCATAAAGCAAATAATGACTGAAACTCGGACATTGAATAAAAGATAATAATTATAAATAACTTTGCCTATTACAGAAAAATAAGACTGTATTCCACAAGAATTTTTTATTAGATAGATCACCCCATCGACTGTCGTTCTCATGCTTGGGTTGAACTGGATTGACAAATTTTTGAAGGTCCCACTATAGACTGGTCTGATTAAAAGCATGATAGTATATGAATTTGTTTTAATTTGACTTAGGCCAACTCAGTCGAAGGTTGGTTGTCATATTCATAGAATGAATTGAACAATGTAAGCGATAGAAACAGTATCCAACTCGGGTCGGATTACAAAAATTTGACCCATGTCGGACACTGCGATTAAACTGAGCCTGAAGACTGATCTTGTAATCTTCTAATTAGTTACTTATCTAATTCTCATTCATATTGCACACAGTAAGTCTTGCTTATCGAGATGCATTTTATATAATTCGACTTCGTCATCTGTTAACAGTGGCGTAGCCAGGTTTTTTAAGTAGGTGGCAATTTACCAGCTAAATTATTTTGAGTAGGTGGCAGCGGTGGGCAATAATTTTTCAAAAACTTATTCGCCTTACAGAAGCCGTTGTTTATTGAAGAGAAATTAGTCATTCTACATTAACAGATATAAGTATACACAGGTATTTACATTTTTTGACAATAGGCAATTGCCCACATTTTTTAAAAATTAGGTGGCAATAAAATTTGATTTAGGTAGCAATTGCCGAATTGTCATCCTGCTGGCTACGCCACTGTCTGTTAAAAAATCATTCTCAAGCAACGCTACACCTTTATCATTTCTATTTATACGCTTATCTAGGAAGAACACAAAACTTTAATTTCCTACTAGTTATATCTTTTGGATAGTGATGATACCAATAATCATGATCAACTTGTGTTAATGGTGCGGCAGAATCGCTATGATTATATACCTAAATATATTTAAAAAATCGATACTCTTACATGAAAATAATCAATAAGAATATAAATAATTTAGATACATTTACTTACACCATCCATAATAACACGAATACCATTTTTATGCATTTCATCAATCATTTCTTTTAACTCAGCTGTTGGACCATAACTTGTTTCAATAGCAAAATGATATCGTGGATTATAACTAAATTGTATTTGAATATATATTTATGTATAAATAACACACAACAAATACATACCCCCTAAAATAATAATAATAATAATAATTGATGATGGAAAAAAAATTATTCAATTATAAAACTTAAATAAAAACTATTCTTACCAAGAATGATTTCCTATAGAACAAAAAAAATCACAAAATCATAATAATTTTTTTATTTATGTAAACAATTTTCTTTACCAGGATATTCTTTGATTGGCATAAGTTCAACTGAATTAAAAAAAAACTAGGTTCAATCAGTTTCATAAAGGAAAACAAAATACGTACTTGCATTAACACCCAATTCTTTTAAATAACCAATCTTGTTCATTACATTTTTAAATGTACCACGAGAATTTCGATCATCTTCACCACCAGAAAAATCACCAACATGTAATTCATATATAACAAGCTGTTCGTCTTTTGGTAGGACACAGTCGTCATATTTCCATTCGTATTCATCTAATAAAAATATATCGATTTAGTTTACTCGAAAATAATTAAAGAATATAGTGATGAACACAAGTTTATAACAGTTATATTTTTGAGTTTTCTGCTTGGTAACAAATCGCTTGGAAGAATCTAAAAAACATCAGAATAGCTAAAAGAATTCTCTATTGAGATCGGTGGACTTTAAAATGTTGTTTTCATATTCTCGCTAGCTATTGCCATCGAGAAGAGAACTCGAAAATACAACTGCGCTAAACCTATGTCCATCACTATAGTAGATGTGAATGTATATACCGATAATACGTTTGCCATTTTTGATTATCAATACACCGACAGCTTGTTCTGCATCATCTAAATTGAGTTCATTTAAATAATTTAATATTTGTAAATTTCTGATTAATTTATATAAAGTCATAGATCTTTACACATCTAATCAATGAATACAATAGATTGTTATATTGGAATAACATCCTGAAAAACTAGTGACTAATTTGTTGATAGATGAAATCAGAAAATGTTATCTGTCAGATACAATCATCAATCTTTCTGAGGTCAAATGAGAAAATAAGATATTTATTCTGAATTGAATGTGTAATCTAAGCTTAGTCTGAACAGTTGTCAAACGGAAACTATTAGTGAAAATCTAATTTACGAACCGTCAATTACAAATAATATTATTTTCTTTCGCTGCTTTGAAAATAATAAAATTAAATGATAAGAATTTATTTCAATTTTCCCAAACGTACCAAACATATTATTAAAACGAAACGACATGGAAAAAACAAGAAATTTATTTCATTTATTGTTCTAATCCAATAAAAACTCTACTATCGAGATCGGCCAAAAAAAGTGAGCTCCAAATTGCGTAAACTCCAAATTTGGAGCTCACTTACGCATCCCTGTTTTACTCATTTATCTCAGTTAAGGTCATAGAGTTCATAGCAAATAGCAGCGTCCCATCAATCCAAACCCATTCACTATGAATCTAATGTAAATCTAAATTACTTAATTAATTAGTGCTCACGTTAATTAGTACTCACTCTAATTAGTACTCAATTTAATTAATACTCATTTCAATAGGGCTAGTTAAAGTCGATACTCATCTAATTATTACTAATCAAGATGAGTAATCATAAATTCTCAAAGTCTCTCCTATGGAGATACTCACAGGTACTCAAGGCCTATAATATGGGAGTACCCAAATTAGCTCAGGGGCTATAATATGGGAATGCCCATAGCTCATAAAAGGCTACACCATAGGAGTACCCATAAGTTCTCAAACCCTATCTTCTGGGGGTACCCATAAGCTCTCAGCAATTATGCTATAGGAAGGAGTACCGATAGTAGGACTTTACAGTTCACGCTCACGACAGCTCATATGAGCGTGTGTTTCTTCACTGGTTGACACCCGTTACCTATCGACTAATCAGGTCCGAGAAAGCCGTTTTCTTTTCTATTCTAAGGACAAAACATACTATTGTTCGTGTCATATGAAAGACGACCCTTGATAACCTATGCATCGGCCCGAACAACCCGATGTTCTCTTCTTAGAATAAGCGAAAAAAACAGCCCTGAAAGCTGATTGGTCGAGCTATCAGCCAATCAGATCCCAGCACCGTTTTTTTTTCGCTTATTCCAAGGACAGAACACGAGGGTGTTCGGGCCGATCTATAGGTTATGAAGGGTCCTCTTTCATATGACCCGAACAACAGTATGTTTTGTCCTTAAAATAGAGAAGAAAACGACTTTCTCGGACCTGATCGGTCGGGCCGATAGCTAACCGATATCAACCAGTTTCGAAATGCTCATGCTAATATGAGCGGCTCATAAACCTGAGCGTGAGCTGTACAGCCCATATGCATACCTCCATAGCGTAGGCCTTCAGAACCTATGGGTAGGCCCATTGGATAGGCGCTCTTGATGAATTTAGGTACCGCCTAGCTTTGAGCTTGAGAACTTTTCAATATTCAGATTAATTAGTCCTGATTAGATCAGTACTTTCATTAATTAGTCTTAATTAGATGAGTACTAATTAAGGTGAATACTAATTAAGGTGAGTACTAATTAATTAATTAATTTACAGTTACATTATGCTGATAGACTATGACTGAAGTTGATGATAATGCTATATTCGCTATCAACTATAAAACATGGACTGATGTCCGTGGGTAAAATATGGATGCGTGAGTGAGCTCCAAATTAGGAGTTTCTGTGTGAAGCTCACTTTTTTTGACCATCGACATCTAGTCTTGCCTCTTTCTACAATAAAATACATTTTTCTCACTTAAACTATATCAATTATGATTACTTAACGTTATCTCAAATATTGACTATAGATGAAATGTTAAAAATGGCAAATTACTATGGTTACCAAGTTTTATTCAAATAGTAGACAAATGACATGGGCATCTCAGTTGCATGCTTATTTGCATCACCCTCAATATACTACAGTATTCATGGACACTGACGAATCAGCATCAAAATTCTAAATATGGAAAAAGATCGAGTCATACTTTTAAGAAAAATGAAAAGCATTTATTTCACTAACTAAGTGGTATGTACGAAATGCTAAGATTTTGCTATACTGTAGATAAACTTCTTTTGAGACCTGGCAGTTGCTATCAATTGCTCACTGGTGGCTCGCCTATGCTAATAAGTACCGACGACATACCAGCGGTTTGTTTTTTGTCACTACCAGAAGTGTTCACAGGCTGATTTTTGCACATCCTGTTCTGCCCTGCTAACAAAGGCATGAGAAAAAAATTCACACTGCCCGACTGAATCTACTAGGGCAGGACAGGGTACCCTGCTGAACTAATACACTATCTTGATTGTAATTTCCCATCGAGTTAAAAACAAAAAACGTTTCCTTGTTGTAATCATAGAGTATTATTTTATTTAAGCCCATTTTACAATAATAGTAACTCATAGTTTCACCAATAAAATGCATGTATCAATTCGAAACCTTAATTTAAAACTATTGTAAATGGTTTCAGATCTGTATAAATCCATTTTGCAAAAAGATCTTTCAATTCATTGTTTTCTTTGAATGTTAATTTAACTTTTCGTTGAAAAACAATTTGATTTAATTTATATTGAACTAATTTTAACACTATTTTCAGGATGACAATCAGAAACTCTGAGTTTCCATTTTGCAGGATATAAAGAATTTACTCTACCCTGTGCTACCCTGCCCTACGTGCAGCTCTGGTTACTATTAATGAATACTATTGGTTAACCACCTGTATAGCGCATATAATATCAAACGATCTACTGACAGGTCTTTTGTCTGGTTTGAATCACATAGACCCTTTCTACAGAAATTACATTTGAAATCTGTCGAAATCGACTCTTGGAAGTTCTTATAAAATAAAACATTATTTACCACTTCCACGTTCATCAACATCAGTTGCATATGGATCAACAAAAGTGTACCAAATTTCTGTAAATGTCGCTTCGTTTTCACGTTGTCGATTTCGTTCTCGAATTTCTTCAAGAAGTCTAGCATAAGCTTGAGTTTTTTCTTGTTTTTCTTCAGGAGCTAAAAACAATGAGATCGTCATAATTATTTCCATAAAGTATATAAAATACAGTTGAGAAAAAGATATCCAAGAAACAAAATAATAAAAGTTACAAAATTCGACAACGATAATACAAGTATGATTACTTATATTTTTGTTTTTTTTTACTCGATGAAAATCCTGAAGAGTTTCTTCGTTAGTATCTGTAGATAATAAGAGATGTCACCAATAGGATTTTTATTTGTATTAGAAATAAAATTTAATTCTTACATAGATCTTTGAAATCATCATCATCATCATAATTGGGTAATGCAGGTTCTGGGTCTTGTTCAAACCATGATTTTGTTTGAACTATTTATACAAAATATTAAGTTCTTAAATTTTTCTATGACATAAAATATTTTCTTTACTTTTAAATTGATAATGATAAATTCCATCAGCTAAATCTATAGCTGCTCGAAAATAACCATCAGATTCATCTTTTTCCATAACTAATATTTAGACAAATTAATGAAAAATAAATTTCTATAAAATATTTTCTTACGAATATCAACACCAAACATTCGAACATTTGCATTTTTTAACTAATCAAAAAAAATTAACATAAATAAAACATAATTCGAAAAGCAAATATGAAACAAACACGTAATGCTGCTTGTTTATTGTAAGGAGCAAACAGGGTGAACGTAAATGGAGACATATTAATTATTTAATATGAAAGTCAACGATCTAAAATAATGAAAATATTATACAAAATACAATTTATGATTCATTCTATTGGAGAATCAGAAGCATTGTAAAACAAAAAACATATTTAAATGTCAATCGTTGGAGTTTGCTTCAATTCATTTATATTCATGGAGTTACATGTAAAAGAAAAAACAAATTCAATTAAATACTTGTATACAATTATTTCGTTGTAAAACGAAACAACATTGTATTATTAAATATGAAAAATATATCAGGTCATAAGAATATATCTATCATGAAAGCAGAAAGGGGTCAAGGCAAATTTTCTCGAGTACAAATGCGATTACTTGTCTTGTTCTGCATCCAAGCTAAAATCAGAGATAAAATATTTTTTATGTGAAGCGTTACCTTCTGTATTTGTACGACACAGAAAATAAACGATGTGCTTTATCTTTGTCTTTTGTTTGCTGTGTTATGTTAGGTTTTCATTAGAATATAATGCAAAGTTCGATTAAACCTATATGTATCGTGTGTAGTTGATGTCATTCTTCGAGTACAGAAAAAAAGAGACGAAGAAAGGTTCCCACGTGTCACCATTAATTATCTTTCTATAAATGAGCATCATGAATAAGAAAGAAAGATAATAAATTTTCTTCAACAACCTTCTATGTAAGGTTTACGACATTGCAAAAGGTGCATCACGAGAGAAAAATATTAATGATGTGCATTTTGAAAAAGAAAGTCATGAAAAAACGCTTAAGTCTTTCATACTGAATTAATGATTGTATGAACCACGTGATGGTAAACAAGAAAATATTTTCATAGAATCGAACGAACGAGTACCAATAATTGTATATCATATAATAGAACAAACACATAAAAGAATACAAACAATTGGTATTTTATGGAAATTTTTTAGAAACCAATACAATAAATCCATAAAAGAAAACAGATGGCGTTTAAACACAATGAAATGAATTTTTATTTTCACTATTTTCTTGTTTATTTATCAAAAGATATTTATAGAAAAAAAAAAGAGGTTCACTAATTTATATAAAAAAAAGAATATAAAATTAGAAGACATAATAGTTTAATTTAAATTTTCATATACTTGAGGTATATGTTCAATAACAATTTTTACCATGTCTGCTTCTTCCTTAGTTATTTCTGTAGGTAATGATTGCATGGCAGATGATACTAAAATATTTTCATATTTTGGTGGTCGATCTTCTTGTTGTCGTTTTAGTCTAAAAGAATTACAAGGCAAACATTGATTATCATTGATCAATGCAAAAAAATAAAGATGTTGTCAGTACCAAAAAATCAAGACATCATGTTCATAATTGTTTCTATGTCTAGAGCGCATCATTTTAGACCTATTATATGAAAAACAATGATCTTGTTTTTTCATTAAAGTAATTGAAATAGAACCAAAAAAAGTTCTATCACTTCAAAAGAGTTTCAAATAAATCATGGTTATCAATTCTAAACTAATTAGGACCATACGAAAGTAGTGGTGATAGCACGTTAATATCGTATAGACAGCTTGAAGAAACTCTCTCCCGTCTGTATTTATAATAAAAACAATGCGCTATATTGTATAACTCTTCAAATAATATTCTACTAACTGAATTTCGATAAGAGCTATTTGTCATGACATATGTCAATAACACAAACGTCCTTTTCAAGAAAAAGACGAGTAGATCTTTTATGGATAGCTTTTGATAGCAATAAGATAGAGAGTTGTAGTTTTCATCATTACACAGCTAAGATAATGATACATGGAACTGTCTTTAATAGATTTTTTTTAAAGTTTTCTATTCACTATTATGAAAACAAATGTACCCATGAACAACTTACAGTAAATTTTCCACGATCAGGTATGTATTCAAACCACCAATCAAAAATCTACAAAACTATGTACGGATCAGACGTTTAGATATCATCATTCAGGAATCACAGATATTCTGCCTGAAAGCCAAATCCCATTTTTCTAGTAACTACCCTGACAAAAGTACTTGTTTGTTTTTTGCTTCTGGATTAGAAACCGTTATTTTTAGAAATTCAATGAAAAACACTAGAGAAAGATGTTGGAAAAAGTCTCTGCTATACGATTCCATGCATCTTCATTTTTACCTTTCTAACAATGAAAACTGTAGATCTCTATCTTGTTGTCATCAAAACTTATACAAAAAAAAATGTAATAGGTTTTTTCTTTGAAATGCGCATTAGACTTATCAACACATACGATCACAAATAGCTCTTATCGGAATTGGATTACTAATAGATAGTAGTTAAGCAGTGTTTTTAATATCAGTATATACAATACATTCAAACTACTTTACACATATCTTTTTGAGTAATTGTTTCTCGAGATTATCTCTTGATTAACTAGTACTCGAGATCACAACGCACGAGACAATCAGATTTTAGCATGATATACTCGAAGAATGAAAACGAAAAAAAATGAGAGTATTACTATTCGATTAATATTTAGAAGTCGTAGAAATTCATTTTTAAGTGGGTAACATTCATAATAATGACGACTAGATTTTAGTCAAGTACTGAGAATGTATTGTAAATCATATCACTAAGTGTTACATTTTTTAAAATTGACTATAGTATTTTCTTAAACTCATATTGAATTATCATAGTGTTGTATCAAACATTTCATTTGACTAATCTTAATCATCTGGATTGCATAGAAATCATATAGCATTATGAAACACTTTTCTGTCTGCATATAACTTCATTGACTATACTCAATTTTTTTATAGATTGTTTTAAATCGATTAATTGTTACCTTATAAGGTTTTCTGGATGTTATGTATAAATTTATTTTTATGATTCATAATTTCCAGTGAAAGTTATATTATTATTTTTTACAAGCTCGAATGTTTATTAACATCTTAACTAGTCTAGTTGGTCTATTTGAATTTTTAAATTTGTTTTATCAATGATAAACTATGTATTCTTGAGAAAACTATTTAGATAAAAAGAAAGAACTATGTTAAAACATTTAAATAGACTAACTTACAACCACACGACAAGTTGTTGTAATTCTGTTGATAAATTTGATGGTAGTTCAGGTACCCATGTTTCAATTTTAGTCAAAATAACCGGTTCTATCATTTGAAAAAATGGATGTTTATTCGTAGCTATTTCCAGCTATAAGAAAGAAAATAGAAAAACAAACAAACAAGGATTATTTTTTACAGTTGAAAGACCTAAGGCCCACATATCTGATCGTATACCATATCCATGAGGTGATAAATTTCCATCAATTCGTTCAGGCTAGGAAAAATGATAAATTTTTAAAAGAAAATAATAAATTATGACAATACCGCTAAATAAATTCGTGTTCCTTTCGTTAGTGTACCTGTTACTGAATCAACCAATCGACCACATATACCAAAATCACAAAGTTTAAATATAACAGGATTCTGATTTAATAAGATATTTGATGGTTTAACATCTCGATGAAGAATATTTTGTGATTTAAGAAAAAGAAGTGCATTGGCAATCTCAAAAGTATGAGAAAAAAAGCAAAATCACTTATTATGTCTCTTTTTTTAGGTGTCATACATGATTAATCATCCGTTTAAGTAATAAATCAAGATGTTGTGTTTTGTCCATTGCATGCATTGTAGTACAAAACTTGTCCATTGATGTTTCACATAGTTCCATACAAATAAGTAATTGGCAAACCTCCTATTTCCAAATGATGATTTATTTATATAAATAAATAACAGCATTATTTCTACATACACGATCAATGATTGGCGCATAGAACTTAGTCACATATGGATTTAAACCTGAACCAACTGTACGCATTGTTATAAGATCAGTATTGGCTGTATAATCATTTGGATTACTGTGACTTGGAGTTAGACTTAACCGCTATTGATGTAAAATAAAACGTTCTTAAAATAATACAAAACTCTTTTAATTTATTTTCATTGAAACGATAAACTCTAAGAAATCCGAAGGGAAAACTTTATGAAAGATTCATCCAGATTTAATAAAAACGGAATTACTGTATGATTCATTGATGTTTTAGAATAGAAAATCTTTGTAAGATGATCAAAGAAATATTTTTGTTTACACTATCAAATCAAAGAATATTATTGTTGTATGATTCTCACTGTCTTTCAAGAAACCATGCACGTTTAAATTCTAGGAAACATATAAACTGGCTTCATAGCACGTAGGTGAAGTTATCACCAGATTCGAGTATTTCCAGCCCGGATTCGCTCATCAACTTGTTCCAATTCTTCCATTCTTGTTCCAAATACAGCTCGACGAGCTCTACCCAATGGTATGCTCAGATTTTCCATAGCCCGAGCTATAATTTTTAGGTTTTGTACAGCGCCATCTATTGTCTCAAACATCATACTTTGGACTGTAGCAAATCTGAGTACACCATTTGATACAGCTCGTCGAATTCTACTTGGAACAAGAATAGGAGTTCTGGAACAAGTTCTCGAGCGAATTCGGGCTGGAAATCCTCGACTCTGATGATAACTTCAAGTACGTCTTCATAGCAGAACTATTATAAAATATAGAAATATATAGGACGCTTGTTTTCTCTAAGAGAAGTTTTAACAGTCTTCTTGAACCTTACAGTAGCACCAAAGATTGCCTACATGATCAGAAAGTGTGTTTTAGATACATCTCAATATTTTTTTGTTACAAATGATGGTATTTGAAAGCAATTGAGGTTCTAATAAACTTGAAGTGGCCTAAAAATGTTTCATTCTAAGGTTTTTTTAACTTGTTTAACATTTTCTACTAAAAAATCTATCAACTTTCTTCGAATAATTTTTTGCTATATTTATGTGACAGGCATTGTTTAATAGGAAATTTTTCATTCATATTTGTCTTTCAATCAAATCAATGTCATTCTATCAAAGACATGCAACTACGTGTCTCTGATACATATTCCCTTGGGTACTTTTGACTGTTAAGATTCACGTTTGAATGCAGTTATTCATTTCTCATTATGTCATCAAGATTTGTTTCTCGAGTTACCGAAAACCTTGCAGTATCCTTGTGGTAGTTCCATGAATAATTTTGTGAATGTATATCATCATATAGATCTAATAAAATTGAACGTCTGAACTTATGTACGATTAGAGCTTTATTGATAACTTCGACTTTCTACGGTGACAATGGCTATAGGATTCTATGCATTTTTTATGGACTTTTGTTTAGTTTCACAGGACTTTTAACAATTTGGATATGGACGACCTATTAAATCTCACCAACTTCTCAATTCACAATGCTTTACTTTCTATTTGATTAAAATGCACAGTGATATGATATAAAGATACTGTGGTACGAGAAGAATAAGGGAAAGATAATATTCTATGACCGAAGAAAGAAAGAAGATTGTACAATTTATACTGTGCATAAAAACTCAGTTCATATATTTACGCGCCCTGGAACTGTGAATGGTAAAAGAACAAAAAATATCAATCTCATGGTAACTTAGCCACTTCGACCACACTAAGGGATGAACAATTATACATATGAAAACGATAATACTTTTTTGTACATCATATTTCTCATGTCATGTGAATTTTGACATTAAATAGTTCATGATTAAAGCATTGAATTAAGATAAATATCCGTTATATAAGAATGAAAAGTTGAGAAAAAAAAGCAATGAATAGCAGTTGATGATTATGATAATTTTCTTAACAAAATTATTTAACTCACTTTCACAGCCATTTTTATTTGTGGATGTTCTTTAATTTCAGTCAACATCACAGTTCCAAAATTTCCACTTCCAAGTTCTTGACTTTCGATTAACGATTGAACTGAAATAGTTATTGGCGTTCCTTTATAATCAAATGTTGCTTCTTCTCCTACATCTGATAGTCTAAAAATAATAAAACTAGTAAGAATATTTTTAAAATAGTTTTTATCGATTTACTTATAAGACGATGTATCTGGTGATGGCAAAGTTTGTTCATCAATACATGTGGGACATTCGATACGAACTAAATCAAAAATAACCATAGAATTTATTAGAGAAAACAAATATATGTTATTTACACATAGGTCTTTTTTTTCCACCTTCAGGTGGTCTATTTTGTGCCATTAATGAAAACTATTTTTATTTGCACCAAGTTTTAGTTTTCGTTGTAAATTGAAACTTTTCCTAGATAAATCTAAAATAAAATAGTTTTTGTACACTTCGTTGCAATCAACAAAGTATATGTAGAGGTTTTCTTTTCATAGGAATTAAAATACTGTACAAAAATATAATTTGTCTAATAATAATCTAGAAGTGCACAAGAAATAATAGTTGGATGTTTTCTTTATTTGATACATGAAACATATTGCTTATAATGTATGACAATAATTGCGAAACTAGACATACGTCGAAGCTAAAACTCTTGGTTTTGAGGTATTGATATTAGATACGGTGGTACCATTTGAATATTGTTTTTGAGACAGTAAAAGAAAGCTGATTTTGAAAAGATAAATCTATAATACTTTCTTTTAAACTTGATCATACACATATCACATTGAAGCGAGCTTTGGATATAATGTTATTTATCGATCAAAATTTGTGGTTAGATCTATTGATAATTGTAATATTGACAAGGCGATCAGAAAAAGATATTTGTAAGAAGCATAGCGAAGAAATTCACGTTTTTATTAGCATTGATTTCTAACAAAATTTATTTTATTTTGAAAACAATTTGTATTGTTTTCAATATGTGTTGTTTTTTAAAATGAGAATCTTTAGCATATGAATAATTGTTTTTCACATAACTAACACTTTTTTTATTGGAGCAGATTCTAATTGAGTTTGTTATTAATTAGGGAAAATCAAAGAACCTTTATTCAAGTCCAAAGCATATTGATTGTTTTTTTTTCTAATAAATTCGTTATTAACAATTGTTCGGCAATCGACAGATGAGGATATATATGTCGTATGAAAGTTGCAACTTCGACGTTAACGTTTGACGAAGTTACTTCAATTGAACAAAATTCCGAAGAAATGTCAGTCAATGAATGATATGAAAAACAGTGTATAAAATTATAGTTAATTTTCTGTGGTTTAGTCAAAGGGGAAACAGCTGATTATTGATTAGGGTTGATTAGGGAGATGATTAGCTTTCAAGCTAATCATCTCCCTAATCAAGTCTAATCAACAATCAGCTGTTTCCTCCTTGGGTTTATTACAGTTAAAATATGTTATATACTGTACAAAGTAGATCTCAGTGCTTCAACATAAACAACGAATTTCAAAAATAAATCTTTATAACATCTCGCCGATTGCATTTCAAGGTCACAACTTGCTCTTACTACTTTATTTATTATTACGTTCCTTATAATACTTGTCGGATATGTTCTGTTTTGAGATTAGTTTCACGCATAGAATTTATATTAGACTGATAGGTAGATTATACTCAAGTATAGCATTCAGAAATACAGTCAAATAAAGTCTTTGTTTGACTCAGTGTGAGTCTAACTTTGGTAAACGTTTAACTTATCCTTATATGTAGTATTTTTCTTATTATTATAAAATTCAGGTATTGTTTAAATCATAGCATAGTATTCTAGAGATCCTTTTCATTAGTTACATACCTTAGTATCGTCAGATGAGATCTATAATCATATAAATTGTTAACAAAAACTAATATTGGATTTTTCTCAATTATTTCTTCTATGTTTATTCGTAAAAAGTCATGTTTATAAAATGAAAAATTACCTATAATTTTATATATCTCGAAACTCTAACTTTGATACGACGTACACAATATACTCTGCTATTCTTTATCTGTATTAAGACATATAAATGTGGATCAAGATCAATGATGATAGTGATCAGAACTAAAATACTTTATATATCTTCAGTAAGAGTACATTAAGAGTAGGAAAGTGACAGTGAGAAGTTGTCTAGTATAGAATGTACCAGATTTCTTCAAACTACTAAGGAAAGATTGGTTGATATAAATAAAATGAGAGTAAAATTCTTGCTTTAAAAAATATTTCCTACATAATTTAGAATTTCACTTCTATGTAGTCAATTTACGGTAGAGAACTTTTTATGCAATGTTGTATCAAGAGTTCGTTTGAAAAGAAAATATGCAACGGAATTTATAGAAAAGTATTGTAAATTTATCGTTTCAATATTAGGTCTTTTTCTAATGTCTCGAAACCAAAACTTCGAAATTAGTTTTGATTTTTGTATGTCTATACGAAAAATTTGGTTTATGCTTGTCTTAGGCGAGGTAAATCGAAAACAAATTTAAGAAGCGAATGAAAACAGTAGAAGGTTAATCTGCAGTTTACTTACACCGTCACATACGATTGGTACACTTAATACAACAATCATTGTGTGTGTGGAAGTGAGGAAGGATGTCGCTAAATTGCATTTGTACCGACTAGAGTAATCTATCCCATCAGAACAAGTTTTCATTTAGTGTTTTTTCCTCGCAAAACTGCATTGGACGATCGCAGAAACAATGCATACATTTTTTCAGTAAATTGCATTCCATGAAAAGCCTTTTTGAACAACATTAAAAAAAAGCGTGAACACCAGAAGAAGCAAATGTTCTGTACATTTGGCTTTTGCTTTAATACGTCTACCATGAAAAATTCGGCCCTAATATGGGATATATTAATATTGGTTGTAACTGCAGCAGCCAATGAATCATCATATGGAAACCAATCAACCAATACTTTCATAATATTCGAACCTCTACTCACCTTTTTGGGTGATCTTCAAGATATTGAAAAAACTTATTGTTTAATAGACAAACAGCAATCCTATTAAATCTAACTATTCACATTTTCAATAAGCAATGATGGTGACTATTTTTTAAACAATTTTTGATAGGAACAATATAGGGAGACCTGGGTTTTCCACCACCATTCAAGAAAGAAGATCATTGGTCACCTATCTCTGCCGAAATCTAGTTGGTCAACAATGAACCAATCAGGTAAGTTTTCTGCGAAGGTGCTTGAAGACTATATTCTAAAGCCACTTCTCGTCAGACTTTGACTTGGAATATAACCAACAGATACAAAAAGTTCTTCCTTTTCGATCTATTCAAGTATCGACTTGCTAGGGTGACCATTCCAAACTTATGAGGGCTTTCCTGAGATGGTCGATGGCAACAAATTCATGTTATGAGACCCCGAAAGAGCTCTAGATAGAAGTAATTCATCATGCGGAATCGAATAGTGATATCTGTTTCCAGTTTGAAAGCGACTGGAGATCAGTCATGAGCCCTTCTAAAGTCTTCCAAAGTAAATGTACTTAAATAGAGAATCTTGTATAGACCATTGTATCTCTCAAATGAAACATACTGAAAAGTTGTGGCATGTGTGAATCGAAAAGAAATGATTCTTCCGATTGATTGGACTTATTCCAAGTCAAATCCAACGGACGATGACTTCAAAATATCTTTTTTTTTAAATCTCTGCAGAGAATTCACCTGATGGATCAATTGTTGATCAATCAGATTTCTGCACGCCAACACGACCATAGATTTTCTCTCTTGAATGATGAAGACTTTACATCTCTATATTGTTCCTATCAAAAGTTATTCAAAAAACAATTACGNAATAAGACTTTTATTCCCAAACTAAACACAGAATTTGGATCAGCACAAAAAAACTGAGTCGGATGAAGTACCTTTCAAGGAAATTCGATAACTTTCATTTTTTCTCACTTTTTTTGCTATTATCGGGGGACTGGAATTTATGCACACGTGTAAAAAATGAAAGTTATCGAATTTCCTTGAAAGGTACTTCATCCGACTCAGTTTTTTTGTGCTGATCCAAATTCTGTGTTTAGTTTGGGAATAAAAGTCTTATTTGAATCCGAAAACCGTTGAATACTGCTTAAAATACCTTTGATATTCGTAAAACCCGGTTTTCTCAACACAGGAAAGGAAAGGAAAAAACTGCTCTGTAACTTTGTAAGTGGTGGTATGATGAGTTGAATGTGGTAAAATATTTGCCTTTATCACTTACGTAGAAAGACTTGATTCGTTTACAAAATCGAGCTCTACGTGGTGTACTTGACGAGATTCGATGTGCCACCACAAATAGAGTTTTAGGTCTTGCGTCGATTTAACAACCTACTTCTACTCAGTTTTTGATGCTGAATCTGAAAAAAAGAATAAAATAGAAAATTTTGCATATTTCCCGAAAGGATGAATTTTTCTCGAAAAACGACACCTCTCGAGTATTTCGTATTTTTCGACCGGAAAGAAGCTTTTGCTAAGGCTGAAAAGTAGATATTCGTGATCAGCAGATAAAAATCTATCAGATGATGTGAAAAAAACGCGAGAAGAAAATTTTTACTGAAAATTCGCTTTGCCGGCACCTTATTTTTAATAACTATATAATTCGATGGATCTTTTTCTAATGAGCAACTATGTAATTCAGTGAGTTGTAAATTCATGAACGGCTCATGAAGAATCAACAATAAGAGAATGATGATAATCTGATCCTAGGAGAAGACGAAACAGTGACCAAGCGTATTGAATCAAGTTGATCACATGGACATGGAACAACAGATGACGAATTACTTGAAGACATTCTATCGATTATAAGTGAAAGCAGAACTAAATCATTTGTTATTATTACAATAGATCGAGCTGCATTGTTACTTTCTATGTTCATTCATTGTTATTTGTTTTATCGAATCCCAACGATTACAGTTTTTAATCACTTCCAGAATAGGAAAAAGTTATTTCTCACTTACTTCGCTTAAATAGACGAGAAAGATATCTATTTTGAATTGATTGTGTTGTTCTTAATAAAAGCATTTCTGGTAAAAACATTGACATCATGGCATCTCATGAGATATTTCTTAAATATATTTCGTCCCATGAGACGGGATGGGATTGTCCCATGAGACGGGATGGGATTGTCCCATGAGATGGGATGGGATTGTCCCATGAGATGGGATGGGATTGTCCCATCCCACATAGAGCCCTGATTTGTATACTTTGTTAAGATTAACAAAGAATACTGGTAAATTTTCTTTT